TGACAGTCGCGACAGTACGCACTGAGAGCGCCCCAGCTGACACAAGAAGTGACACTTCCAAATCGATACAGGCTTCACTTACCATCGGAGGAGACGAACTGGCCGACAGCTGACGACCCTCCGCCACTGTTCTCCACGAACTGGACTTCAGACACAATGATGTTGTCTTCCAGCACAGACCCACAGCCCGTACACACCGCATCGCCCCGGGCCTGGTCGATATCGATGTCTGTGCACCCACAGTTCTTGCACACGCGGGAACTCATCTGGGGAGCCTCGGACAGAGGACGGAAAGTGTCCTCCTCTAGCCCGGAGAAGCGCTCTCCTGGGGGCCACGAAAACAAAATCCGACGATTAACGTGCGCATAGATGACAGGATAACAAAAGTGCATTGATCAGAACTCAGATCTTGGGTAACCCGGGAGTCTCGAGCACCGAAACGGCCAAGCAAACGTTTCGACTTCAGTCTTCGATGCGGTGAGCACGTTTGAACGTGCAGATAAGTTCACGGTCACCTGGTTCCTCAGCTGGATAAACTGAGGCGTTGAGCTTTAGGTCCGCACATGGCTCCTCTGTGTTTTGTAGAGGTTATTTTTTTTATTCTGGAAGGAACATTTCGCCACATGAAGACGAAATACTCATGGCGAAAGTGAACGATTTTACAGTACTATACAGAATACGGCAACTTCTGAAATTACAAAAAGCAACTACACCCTTCGCTGAAATAGTTCCGAATCTTCACTTTTCTCATTAGAAACGAATGGGAGACTAATTATAATGATGTTAGCAGTGGTTACCGCTGCAGTATCACCTGCGAGCAGCAAGTGGACCAACGTCTGCTTGGTTATAGTCTCGAATGACTTAACTGCAATAAATTGAAACGTTCTTTGATAAAGAAAAAAAAACACTATTCATACTCGCATCGAATTGCAAACATGAGGAAAACTAACCCGGAGGAGGGCAGGCACCGTTTCCAAGGTGCAATCTCTCTTCTCTCCCACCGTGGAGCAACAGCGTCCGCGTCGGTAGAGCAGGAAACTCCCAGGCTGTTACCGCTGATCCAGGGCCCTGCTTTAACCTGCACCGCGGCGCACTGTTGGAATTATATGAATATTACTACACTAAGTATAAAAACTCAAGCAATTTGGTATACGCGTATTTCCGTCTGAAACCCATATCCTAGCTTCTAAATAACACGAACACCGCTTCTCCCGGCTGCATGTGCCCCTAACAAAGCGCTCACAACAGAGTGTCTCACTAGACATTACACGGAGGGGGAGCTGGGTCCTGCAAATACATTTTATAGGTTGATTTTTTTAACATAGAAATTAAATTTCACAGAAGAAATGGCACTTAACTGTAGAGTTTTATTTTCGTGACCAGCACGTTATCTTTTCATGCATGTATTGACGTCGCTTTGTGTGTTATTTTCTCGATACTACCCCTATTCCTGGACAAGTACAGCCCGGCTCCTCCCAGTAAAGGCGCTTGTGGCCGGTGACACAGGGCTGTGCAGGCAGCAGATGGGCGCGGGAATAGTGTTGTGTAGGGAGTGTATAGTTTTTAACACGAGTTTTGGGGTTTATCCCAACTTTTTGGTGGGGTAGAAAAAAAGCGGTTCTTTTACACCATGGACATGACAAAGCTGTGTGGCCTGCAGCTCAGAGGACGAACAGATTTAAATCTTGTTTTACACCCACATTCAGGGTCCTTTTTTGAGAGACCTTCCTTGCTAAGAGATTCCATCAACGGGGCGAGACTGAAGACGCCCTGTTATAGATTTGAGAGGACTCGCGTCTTGTTTTTTGAGGGTAAAAAAAACCCTGAAACAGGACATGCTAGACTTTCTTCATAGGGTTAACAAGCCGGCCAAGGTTGCTGGTGTTTCAGGTTTTAGTCAGGCGGTCGCGGCCCCTAGCGATAGGAAAGGGGATGACTCTTCTTCTTAGATGTCCTGACGTATTTAGGAAGTTGAACACCTTCTTCCAAATTTTCCGCTGCTGGCACTTCAAAGAGACTTGTGCAACATGCAGACACAGCAGCCCACCAGGACTGGAGACCCCTGCCTTAACCAGTCTGACAGACTCTAAATCATTCATTTTTAAAGAGGCCTTGTTGGTCAGTTGTGCAAGGCATGTTCGAAGGTCTTTTCGTTTCTTTCAGTTCTGCAATTTCCCTCACGGGATCAATAAAATATCTATCAATCAAGGCAACCCTTGTCCTCTGAGGGCTGGAGGACTTCGTTCTGTGTTTCAATGTAGATTACTACAAATTGCCCGTTATTGATCACCAAAACACTTTTCCAAAAAGGACATGACATGCTTTTGGAGTCTGGTCAGGTTTGGTCCAGATTTTATTTTTCTTGACCATTTTCATAAAGGACATCGGGCCTGCCTTCAGCTCCCGGTATCGTAATCTTCACCTTTTGGTTCCATTCTGCTCTCAGAGGATTGAACCTGTCTGGACACTGCCTGCGATCTCTCAGCTCTCAGTGTAATTCTGCAGGGTGTCATTGACTCTCAGCTGTGTGTTTGTCCTATGGCCAATGTGAGACATGGAGTTTAAATCACTAGGCTGCCTCACTGCTTTTTATTATCCATAGACGGTACACTGCTTTAAATGAAACAGTATGTTTAATTTTGTCCAGCGTTTGCATTGCCCTTCTGCTTTGTTCTACCCTTATTTTATTTGTAAAATTAAATTGCTGTGACACACCGAAAGTACATTTTATGAAAGCCATTAACGTAGCTTGAGTTGGATAAGCGCGTTTGCTAATAATACACATAAGGTACAGAAAATTATTGGAATTTAGGGTATTTAATTGAGGGTGTTTAAAAACTACGGAGTCTAAATATATTCTAAAACTGTCATGATTTACTGAGATCTGTTCCTAAAATACTGCATCTACCATCAGCCATCGAAGAACTTGTGTTCAACTGTGCAGATCTGCGCAAGGGTGCAGGAATCGACGACATAAGACCGCGACATCTGCGGCTCCCCCGCGCCGGCCACGAAGAGCCGGAAACACCCGAAATATTCCGAGGACCGACGAGAGGAAGCGGAGTCGCTTGCTTTAGAGCGGTTGTGTCTGTTAAACCAAGGCTGTAGCAATGCCGATCTAAAGATAAGCGAGTAATACTTCAAAACGACATTGAATACATTGAAATACCGCTTTAAAACTATCATGGAGATTGGAACGGAGATAAGCAAGAAAATAAGGGTAAATTCATTCATTGTCTTTCATTTTAAAACGTCCTAAATAGTGAGCCGGGGCGCTCGGGGCCTTGTTTACGATGTGTGTTGCTTTCAGGAGATTTCAGTGGAAACGCTTGCTTAAGTTAGACTGGCTTAAAACAAAAGCCGTCACTCTCATTCTGAGATTTCGAACTAATTCTCCAAACAAAATACCTTGCAATAACAAAAACATTGTTATTGCTTCCGTGCTTAGTATGTGATGTGTTCCTAGGTGTAGCTACCATCTGCTACGTACAGTAACAGTAAGGTTTTTGTTTTTTCGCTGAAAGGTATAAAACGCCATTTCCGAACTTGTGCTTTAATGCTTATCAATAAAATAATGATGGAAATACTGTATTCGAAGACACCGTTTTAGAATGAAGTTAAGGATTGTTTCATAGTATCTCCTCGAAAGATTTGGATCAGAGGTGAATCTGTAATTAACTGAGCAGAACCTTTGGGGTCAAATATTTTGGAATTGTTTCGAGTTCATTTCTACACGCTTGATGCCCGATTGAAAAGCGACAATTGCACTCCCCTCTTTTTCGAGAGAAACGGAAATGAATTATTTAATTAATCATCAGTTTATTTATGCTGTTTTCCAGGCTGCAATTAAGGGGAAGTTGCAGGAACTGGGCGCTTATGTGGGTAAGTTAGACTTTTATTAGAAGGGAAATAAACTTTTTCCAAGTTATTTTACTAAATCGCATACTGCTTTTTCCCCCCACAAGATCAATTGCCGTTCTCGCTGTCTGAGTCTTTTCATTCTTATATGTGGTGTATCATTTAGTAGAATTGGATGGCACTAGTGTTTAGTAGGGGTGGTGCTCCCTTCAAACTGCTAAACAAGGTCTCTTTATTTGTGTTCATTAGATGAAGAACTTCCCGATTACATCATGGTTATGGTGGCTAATAAGAAGAATGCCCAACAGATGGCGGATGATCTCTCTCTGTTCCTTGGGAACAACACCATCAAATTCACCATTTGGTAGGTTTGTGAGCAGTTTTATGTCGGCGTTCTTGTCCAGAATTGTGGATTTCATTCATTCATTGACTCATACTCATGTCGGTTCTCCTGTAGGAGCTTTGGCTTATGTCAGGTGAAACAGTCATTCCCTTATCCTCTCTTCCAGGTTACACGGTGTTCTAGAAAAACTGCGATCAGTTGCTGTTGGTAAGTAAAAAAATAAAATAATAATTCCCAGCTCCCAACCCCTCTTCAATTACTCCTTTTCATTCACATTTTAGGTTTCACATTAGCTTGAATTCTTAACAGTTGAGAAGCTCACACCATTGACAAAAAAAACGAAATTTTTTTTTTTTACCAGATATTTTAAATGTATTGCATTTGCTATATCCCCCTGCATCTCAGAACTAGCAGCCCACTGAAGCTCAGCAGGTGTGAGCCTGGCCAGAACCTAGCTCGAAGACCTCCTGGGAAAGCTAAGGTTGCTGCTGGAAGAGATGTTAGTGTTACCAGTAGGGGACGCTCACCCTGTTGCCCCCGTACAGTGATGGGGACACTATACTGTTAAACAAGGCTCCGTCCTTCGGATGAGACGTAAAACTGAGGTCCTGACCTGTGGTCATTAAAAATCCCAGGGCGTTTCTCTCAAAGAGTAGGGATGTTATCCTCATGTCCTGGCCAAATTTCCCATTGGCATTTACCAATTGTGGCCTCCTAATAATCCCCATTTATGAATTGGCTTCATCACTCTGTTCTCCTCCCCACTGAGAGCTGATGTGTGGGGAGAGTACTGGTGCACTATATCTGTCAGCGCATCATCCAGGTGGGGCTGTACATTGGTGGGGATCCCCATTGCCTGTGCTATATGTGTGTGAGGAATGTGGCGAAGTGGTGGCCCTGTGGCTAAGGATCAGCACCTGTGGCTGGAAGGTTGCCGGTTCAAATCCCACGGCCGTCAGAGGAATCCTTCTCTTTTGGGCCCCTGAGCAAGGCCCTTAAGCCCGGCTGCGCCAGGCGTGCTGTATAAATGGCTGACCCTGCGCTCTGACCCCAAGCTTCTCTCTCTCAGTCTGTGTGCCTGTGTGTCTCATGGAGAGCAAGCTGTGGTATGCGAAAAGACAAATTCCTAATGTAAGAAATTGTATAGGGCTAATAAAGTGATCTTTTCTTATTATTAATACTGCGGAAACTATGTAATCTACAGTAAAATTAACAGTGCCAGTCTAATCAGATTTATAGTTTAGTTTTAAAAGGAGGAGGTGTATTCTTCCTGTGCGGAGCTGACTTGCGGTTCGTCTTGTTTCTCGTGCGAGCAGAGCCCTCGGTCCTGAAGCCACAGCTCGCCTGCACGGACGCCAGCGCCGAGCTGCTGGCGGGGAAGGGCAGGCCGCCCTGCGGCGGGAGCGCCAACCGGCGGGACGAGGAGCCGCGGGGCCTGGCCGTGTCCAGCTCTCGCGCAGACCGCACGGACTCCTGGGTGTCCACCAGCTCTTCCCAGGAGCACCAGGTCTCCAGCGGCAGGTAGGAGGAGCCTAACGTGTCCTTGTGTAGGAAGAAGAGAGAGGTTATCTCCTCGGCAGACTGTGAAGACCTGGCTTTACAGAGCTGCTTCAGGGGTCAAATTAAATTAAGCTTTCTTAGTACTTTTAGTAGGGGTGCTAATACTATCACTTAGTCTTCATCTGTTTCAGTCTCTCTTTTTTCGGTCTTAACTGTAATAGATTCCGAAAGTCAGAACGTTGTCTCTTTTCTTTTCCTTTCAGCATGGAATAGATTCAGGAAGACTAGAACATATTCCGTTCAAGCGCAGTGTATGCTAAGCTGTGTTTTATGTGCTGCATGTGTGGAATGACTTGCCTCGTTAGGGGATTTTATTGCACTCCGGAATGAACCATGCAAAGTCAGACGCCGCCAATTTCATGTCCCCGTTACAGGAGGTCGACGGAGAGGAATGTCCCGCGTTTGATGTCAACGGTGAAGCCCCTCGTAGAGCCCTTGTCTGAAGAGGCCATTATTGACATCAAGCCTGAGCCTGACGATGACCTCATCGATGAGGACCTGAGGTTTGCGGGAGACGCGGCTTCCTCCGCGGGCCTGCGGAAGAGACCCCTGGTCACCTTGACCTACAGCTCTGGTCGACCCACAGCAGAGCCTTCCAGGCCTCCGCCGGGCAGCCAGCAATCTGCCAGCATGTCGGACAGCAGCTCGCAGCCTGCCGGTCGAGCAGACGAAGGCAGGCCGTGCAGCTACAGGCCTGCAGAGGCGCTTGGACCCACAGAAACATCCCTAGGACTCTACAGCAGGCTGCAGGACAGCAGTGGACAGAGCATCAGATCAGCCAAGTTACACATCAACAGAGCTCCCAGAGAAGTGAGTAGGAGTTATTGAGAAATACCTATTGCAAGAATTTGTTTCCCCTTCTAAAGCTCAGACTGAGCCATATAAGTTTGTCCTGGTAATGGCTTCTTTTTCTCTGTGTGCTATGAAGCATATAACTCATTTTCTTGTCTCTAACTTAGGATTTTTTTACATTACGGTTTTTCTTTTTATTTTTTTTCGGAGAAGGGGGCATAGTATGATAACTGAATTAACTGGTATTTTAAAAGTTGGTTTCCCCATTGAGAAACCTGTCTGTTACATCTTCTGTTCACTCCAGTGGGTGCAGTGGGTTGAGTCAGCGGGCAGTAAGAAGGATTTACTTCCCTGGTCTTTCTAAAGGAGGACATGTCTTGGAAGAGGAAGGCTCCGGTGGTGAGCTCTATTGTCCGAGTGAGTAAGACCGCGGAGGAAGACCTGGACAGCGATGAGCAAGAGGAAGAGGAAGAAGAGAACTATGGTGCACGGAGTGGCGGCCTCTCCAGCAGCGTCTCCCTGCCTTCTAAACCCGAGCGAAGGTGCTGCATGCCTCGCCACTCCTTGCACAGGGCTTGGACCCTGCTTGCTGTCTTTCTGAGATCCGAACACTAATAGATCTGTACAGCACAGTTCATTCACTCATCCCCGTTCCTTTGCATGAAACATAAAACATCACACACCTCTGGGGTTGCTTGTGAGTACTGGAGACCCTTGTCTCATGAATCCATTCACGAGGATCACAAACATCTGTGTTATCCTCCATTACTACACAATATTCGTTTCTCTCCATGTGCTGTGCAATGTAAGATTATACGTATATTTGCGTGTAGAAAACATACTAGAGCCAGTGTGAGCTTCAGTTTGGCCACTGAAGAGTCTGCCTTGAGCAGTTCTTCTAGCTATCCTAGCCCACCTGGTTTGAAGCGAACTGTGGGGTCTAAAGCTGTGTTTCTGTTTTATTTCAGGCCTACTCTTCCACCCTCAAAGCAAGCAAATAAGAATCTGATTTTAAAAGCCATTTCTGAGGCCCAGGAGTCTGTCTCTAAAACGACTAATTATCCTACAGGTAACAGATATGATGTGTATACTGTGTGTTCTAGGCAACCGAGGTTCAGAAAGCTTCTGTTTCATTGCAGAATTATAGAGAAACTGCAGTGTGCAGTAATTATTAGGACAACTAGAAAATGATTTTGCGGTCTTTGAACCATGTTCATGTAACCCTTAGCCAAAGCACCAGTGTGTAAGGGATTGTACCACAGATATGTGCTTTCCTTCTATGACTTTATACACCGCCATCTGTGGCACCACCATCCCTGTACCTCAAATGAGCAAACTAAATGCCCCAGGTTCAAGTTTGAAGGGCATCTCTCTATCTGGCATTGGGATGTTTTGTGTCATTCCTCTCGGAAAGAAACGAACATGAAACCCAAAATTAGACCCAAACTCTGGTTATCTGTAACGAGCCAGGTCCTTTGACCAGCCTTTTTCTGCTGTTGCTCCATCCTGTTGCAGCAGCAGCCCCCCAGAGGCAGATGGTCCCTGTAGCCCCCCGGACTCGCTCTGCCAGTGAAGACATGGGTGCAGCTGTCCAGCAGGTCCAGGAGTCCCTTCGGTCTGCGGAGTTCTCACTCCAGACACGAGCCCCCATGGAAACCGTTTCAGAGAGACGGCCAGGTTGGTGGTCTTGACTTCTTAAATATCTGCTCCCGCATTAACCTCCAACACTTACCTGCGGGATTCCAGTGCCCGGTAATTCAGATGAACATGGCTGCTCATCATTGTTACCCAGCATTCCTTTTCGTTTGATAAAAACTAAAATGGCGGGAAGATATAGGCACCAGGGACTTTTCTTGGGTTTGCTGTGGTCTCAAGAGTTTACAGTACATTCCACTTAGTTTTACTTGCTTTACAAGATCCTTTGATCTTCTAGTGCAGACAAGGTCTTTGGGTTCCCGGCTTCAGCCTGACACACAAGAGGAAAGTCTGAGAAGACTTCAAGGTCAGTGATGAGAATGGATCATACCAGGGAGGGAGCTTTATATGCATTGAGCTGCATCGTATAACAAACAAAGTGGTCTTTTTCTTAATTTGTGTACATATAGGTTATTAATTTGTGCCGTTGGTTGCTTGCAGTGTAAAGCAAGACCTTTTCTTAGATGATTGAACACTTGTGTTTGATAAGACATGAGGATTGCATGTGTATGGTGCTGATGGCTGTGTTTGTGCACCAGCTGGGGTGTCTGAGATGTCAGCGGTGAAGCCCAATGACACCCGCTCCTTCATCTTGAAGAGGTCTCAGCTCGAAGATGTGGGGTCAGTCAGGAGCAGGCTTGGCACCTTGGTGCCTGTGGAGTTCAAAGAGGTGTCCACTAGCGTGGCGCAGACGAGGTATTTACAACTCTGAGATTTTGAGTTTTCACTGAATGCAGTTAAATACTTGCACAGAAAGCAAAATGCAATACATGGCTGTCAACTTGAATCACAGTGGTTCTGCTCTTGGAAACACCTGGTGTACACTAAATGTCTTTTTTTAATGAAAATGTTTTAGGCTTTGTTTTGGAATTTTGTTAAAGCAATTTGAATATGTGAAATGAAAAACCTGGTTTATGCAATTACAAGGTATAAATGACTCGTATTTATTTTTGAGAGACCTTGCTATTGACCTGATACTGCTGTATAACAGTGGTGATCTTTTCATCCACTCTTGTGCACTCCTTGTACTTTTTTCTTCCTACTGCAGGGATGCATCTGAGCCTAGGCACTGTCCGAGCCCTAAATTTATTGTGACATTGGACGGGGTTCCCAGTCCCCAGGGATACATGGATGAGGAGGACAGGGATGCCGAGGACACTGTCTTAAAGGAAAATGTAAAAATAATTAAGAGCAAGTTGTCAGCGAGACAACTGGATAGGAAACCCAAGATGAATGTGCACCAGCGACTTGAACGTGAATTGGATTATTCTGATGGTAAAAATAACTATCTTTATCCACCATTACTATTTTACCATTTGAGAATATTAGGAATATAAATACGAATAGTTCTATGTCTAGAGGAATCTTAATTTAAAGATTATTGAAATGATGTCATGTACATGTGTCATGAATAGTAATTGTAACTTGTATAGATTTCTTAGCTTTTTTGTTAGTTCCACTTAAATAATTATACTCTTTTAATAAGAGGTGTTAGCATCCCGTACACAAACGGCATAATTGCAGACATCATTTACATTTCCTTTTAAATATACATTGAGCATCGTAAGCATATCTTTATCTGTGTAACATTTGTATATATAAAGAATAACTTTCTTATCGATCACCGGCGGTTTAATGTTTACCCACCCGATTTAGAGTCACCAGTTTTGTGTTTTTCGTGTCTGGGCTGTGAACCCTGCAGCCGCACACGGGAAAAGGAGGAAGTGTAGACACTCCTCTGACCCGCCCACCTTCAGGCCACTCCACTTGTAGCACCTTGCTGGCTGTCCAGCCCCTTGCAGGAGGCTCATCCCTTAATGGAGGAGAGGAGAATCCCTCTGGAACAACACCTCGACTGTGGAAGAATTCTTGAAGCCACAGGGGTCTTGGAATCCGAGAGTCCTGGCTGACTATTCCCATCTTACCCTGGTTACAGTCGGCCAGTGACTTGACTAGACACCGAGATGATCGAACCTAACCTCCATAGGGGCGAGAGCCTTCACCAGTGGAGACAACTTGGAAGCCTGTTTAAATGACCTCTCCACGTAGAGATAAGGTCGTTTTTGTGCCTTTTCAAAATGTTGTCAAAATTTCTCTGTAGATGAAGGGGAAACGGATGTCGTCCCCATTAAACGGCAGAAGGTCCTGGAACGTTGCAAGTATTGGCCAGTCTGCAAAAGCGGGGCTGAGTGTGTGTACCATCACCCCACCACGTTGTGCAAGTAAGCTGGAGAGTGAAGCCATACCCCGATTGTCGTGCTCTTGCTAGTACTTGGCCTGATCTTTCCAACACACAGTTGTTTTTTCCAGATATGTAACTCCATTATCAATTAATACTTTCATAGGTTATTTTCAGTTAATGCTTTCAAAAATATGTTTATTAAAGTGTTTTAATATTAATTTACTAAGCCTTCATGGTATGCCTTTGCTTCAGAAATGTAGATCAACTAAACAAAACCACAAAAGGCACTTTCTGCTTTAAAACTGGCTTTAAAATTCAAAAATGGCTTTCTACATACTCTGGAATGCTTTTAGGACGTAAAACCCAAATATACATGAGGAATTAGTCTTAACATCTTATGATTCATTTTTTTCTACTCTTTTATCCTTTGCAGAACCTTTCCCAGTTGCAAGTTTGGTGACAAATGTTTATTTGTTCATCCAAATTGTAAATATGATGCCAAGTGCACCAAAGCAGACTGTCCGTATACTCATGCCAGCAGGAGAGGCCCAGCTCTGCCAGTGAAGCCAGGTAAGATTATTCTTTGCTTGGGGAGGCTTTAGATTAAAGGGCCAAACCCTTGACTCATGGGGCTCAGATTATTTTAGAATTAAAAAAACACCCCCTGTCATCAGTCAGAATCTCTGTTAGCTTTGAATCTTAGTTTGCTTTTGACTTTTACAGGTGTGAGAACGGTTCGTTATTATTTGTACTCTTGCAAAGCTCATGGTCTCTCTTCTCGGTTTATGTTGCTCGAAATGCAAAGAGAAATTCTGTATGAATGGCCGAGCGTCTCTTGTTTTTCAGTGCCTCAGTCATCTGGCAACATCTGTCGTTTTTTCCCGGACTGCAGGAAGTTGGATTGCCAGTTTTACCACCCTAAAGTAAGAAATGTTTTACCCTATAAGAATTTCTATGTTCCTCTGTAAGGTGGAGAACTCTTCTACATGGTACCAAATGTTGCCCCTGTAATTTATTTTCTTGATTTTGCAGCCATGTCGATTTACAACCCAGTGTAAACGTCCAGACTGTAATTTTTACCATCCATCTGTTTCATTACCTCCAAGACACGCACTGAAATGGACAAAAGCCCAAAACAGGTATTTCACTTTTTAATCTGCTTTGTAGATGATTAACCTCAGGCCATTTTAAAAATGCATAATCTCAACAATTGTGACTGTAAAAAAAGAACATTGACACTTTCCCAATTGCCAGTAACTTTAGGTCAGTTCATTAAAGAATATCTCATCATTTCCACTACCAGACGTATTATCAAATTTGTTGATTTGAACTATACTTTATTCTATACTTACATATTTATCTTTTTCTTCCCATCAGTTAAAGATCATGTGGCATGGACAGTCCTCCCTTGACAACAGCGCTGAAGAAAACGTGGTTTCTGAATTTTTGTTTATTTCTAATTTCATTCTGGGTCCCAGGTTTTTAGCATAAAAAGATTCCAAACTTTGTGATCTGTTTTTTTTTAAAGAAGATTTATCCGTTTTTGTAAACTAAATTCTCAAAAACGTGCATTATAACTGTACTGTATAGAAGTTGACTTCTGTTTTCAGTCACTTTGTCATGTTGCTTCATTGAAGGTCTTATGACTTTTCCAAGCGCCTGAAGTGTTTTCTTTAACCATAATTATATGAATTGACTCATTGACTTCCCCGCACTACAAGTGGTTTCAGCAATATTAAACTTTGAACTTTTCCTTTTAAAAATAATCTAAAAAAAATATCCGAAAATGATTTATTAAAATTTTTTTAAGAAACATTTCACAAAAAATATACAAAAGAATGTCTTTACAAATTATACATATTGATATCAGGAAAACTAATATTCAGTAGCACTGAACCTTGTACCTATGAAACTTATGTACAAAATAATGATAATCAGGAAAAAAACATTTTTGCACTTAGACGGATTCTCAGTTCAGTAAGACATTCCTGTTGAGCAAGATTAGAGCTGTTATGGTTTTTTGTGTAAAAAATAGCTACAGTACAATACCTCAGTTTTCCATTGATATGATTTTAGAAAACGTTTTAGCAGCACACTTAAAATAGTGATCCAGGGAGAAGGAAAACAAGTGCAGTAAAAGCCAAAGTTCTGATTTTTTTTTTCTTTTGGTTCAAAGGGATTGTCTGTTCTTAGTTCATTAAAGCCATGCGCGCGCCCACACAAACAGACACGCACATACACACACAGTGAATATGTACATAGGTATCAGATCATTTGCACAAGTCAGTGCTACGTTATGGTTGACAGGATCACATTTTTAAGTTATTAACACAATATTCTTGGGTTAAAATGGTAAACAGCACAATTACGTTAACAAACCATCAGGGTTACCACAGTGATTGGTACAAGTATATAGTGCATAGTATGCTTTGGCATGCTGACATCCAGGACATAATTCGGATGGTACATTCAGGAAGAAGGCCTCGGGATACTTTATTTTCCTCATTCAAACACTCATTAGCAAACAAAAATCTCAAAATATAAAAACCAACCTGAAATGTTTCACCTAAGCCTTACAGATGTTCCAAAAAAGAAAACAGTTCATTTAAGGCTCAACATGTTTGCTACACCTATGAAAAATGGCATTTTACAATCTGCATCTATCTCACTGGTACAATCCTGCCCCCCCAAAAATATCAAAAACTTTAAAGAAAACTTTTTTTTAATTAAAAGAAGGTGAAGCTGGTGGCTATTTTAGAGTCCTCATGATTGAATGAAAGGCTCTCCTTGTGTACCACAGAAAAAGAAGGTTGTGTCTGATGCACAGGAATTGGGTTCATGGAGGTGTACTGTATGTTGTAGCATCTCAGACACACACCTCTCGTACCTTTTTTTGAAAAAGTGGATCTTGGGCAGTGAGTAAGTTGAGTTACATTGTTCTAGCTGCCAGACTCTCATTTGCCTTTTTTAAAAAAAAAAAACCATGCAGTTGTCCTGAAGGAGGACGTCTCTCACAGCTCCCCTCCTCCTGGGTCATGCTGACATCTCCCCATGCTGCCCCTGTGCAAGGACCGCCTTCAGTGAGGAGCATGGACACATCTCCACACAAACAGGCTGCAGACAGGAGCAGAGGGCACAGGGGACAGGAGTTAGAAACAGCAGGGTCCCTACGGCGTGCCCACTCTGAACGCTTTGGGTGAGGGTTAAAAAGGAAAGGGCTTTTGTTTTGGTGGGATACCATTGATTGAAACAGAAGTACGGGCACTCTACGAATCGACACTTTACCTGCGATCATCGCCACCGGCACTGATCACGTACCGGTCCCCACACGCAAATCGGATATTTGTCACATGAGCGGAATGACCAAGAAACCTTTTGTGTTTAGCCTGTAGGAACATGAAACCAGTCTGTAAATATTGTACGTGCACAGTGCAGAAAGCAACCCAAGAGCTGACAGGCTGGAAAGGGAGGGAACACAGGAGGAAAAAATATTTTTTGCAATGCTAGCTCTAAACTAAATTTATGTTAATACTGATTCATGGTAAAAGTAAATTTTAACAGTACACATGTATAACAGTGGTGAAAACAACTGCAAATATCATTTACTCAAAATCAGTATCGAAACAGTGATCTAAAAACCCCTACAATGTAATAACTGGTATAGAGAGTAACATTTTTAGTCTTCCTTATTTATAAAAACAAATACACTAATAGTGCTAAAATCTTAAGTTCCACATATACAATATACAGTATTTCATTTACTTAAGTTACAACAAAGCAAGGAGGAAACCTAATAGCAAAAAAAAAAGTCCATATCCTGAACACTAATGTTTAATACTGTTTTTAGACATTCTTTTACTGAGGTAAAGTTATCAGCATAATTCACAAAGAAAACACAACCAGTGTATCATAAACAGATTATACTTACAAACTTTTCTGGACATGGAAAGTCAAACAGCTTTACCATTCCGAAGTCATCGCCTGTGACGATGTTGAGACCAGAGTGCGAGACACAGGCACAGGTGACGTCGGCTTTATCAGTATTGCGGGACCAGATCCCCACCACCTCGTCACCCAGGACACTGGGAACCAGCAGAGCAGTGAGTGGTCAGTCAGAGCGCAAGTACAGCTTTCTGTTGCTGTTGGCAGCTTTTACAACAAGTGAAATGATCGACACACAATGCGTAGTGTAAAAGATACACTGTATAATACTGTACATGTTATATATAATCTATATACTGTGTATGTTATATACAATACATAAAGTAATCGATACGCTATATAAGTAATATATAATAAGCAGTAATTGATACATTATATAATACACGGTATAGATTATATATCACATATAACATATAGTATACACAATTCACTGAGTAATTGAAACACTATATAATGTTATAAATGTAATACACATATATGATATGTAATACTCAATATGTAGTGTGATTGATACACTACAAGGCCATGGCTGCCCATCTTCTTTCCTGGCCTTGGATTAGACACAATCTAAAAATGTTTTTTTTCCCCCAACAAGACACTCTTGCAAATCTTAGGAGATACAAATTAGCAAGCTACTTAAGCACATTTCTTGTTTAATGGAAGGTATAGGGAGATCCTTCAGGAAAAAAAAAAAACACGAACAGCATGTAGCAGTCTCAAACCAGCTCTGTCTGCTTTTGAGTTCATGACGCAGGACATGGTTTAATCAGACGCCCCTTCGCACACAGATGGTTAATGAAGGTGGCTCTCCAGGACCAGATAAGGCAACCTCTTAATATGCTAGCCTCAAAAGAGGCTAAGAGTTGGGTATATTTGTAAGGAGCGAAATATCTGTCTGAGTTGGTAGTTGGGGGTGGCACTCAGAAAATGGCTTCTTAAAGGCATTTTTCTAAATCACTCAAACGGTTATTTTCTATGCTGAAAACAGCAATACTTTGACACAAACAGAGGGGAAAAAACCCTTCCCCCCCAAGCATTTACACATTCACACTCACCTAGTCCATGTAGCCCATGTCAGCCTGTCGATCACTGCCTGCTCTGTAACCTGCTTTCCTGAAGGCACCTCATATACCAGGCGTTTGTAGGCTCCAGTCGACAACTTTAAAGGCAAGAGGAAGAGCAGATCGTGAGCCTGTGACAGGGCAATCTTCCACACAGGCACATGAAGGTGCCCACTGCACGGTTTAATTCTATACCTGAACGGGAAGGAAGCGTTCGCTCTGGTTTAGAGATGTAGCCAGGTTTCTAAAACGCTGTGCAATCCTCACTTTAGACTTAGAAATGGCTGAGGTTTAAGTATAAGCAGAATATAGGAAAGGAGATGGTTTTCCATCCAGCAAGTTTAACTGCACAGATAATTAACCTAAACGAAGGCGGCCCGCACGCTGCACCTGAATAAAGTTGCTGTCGGCGGAGAAATCCATCTGCATGACGAAGCTAGGGATGTCTCTGCAGCAGTTGACTCTGTTGAGAGCCGGCCCCAGAGTCAGGTCATAGAAATCCACAGCACTCTCACTGGAGCCCACAGCGAGGTAGCGAGAGTCGGGACTGAACCTAGAGAGACAGCGATTATAACATAACATCACGTCATTAGCCCTATACAATTTCTTGCATTAGCAATTCGTCTTTTCGCATACCCCAGCTTGCTCTCCATGAGACACACAGACAGGGAGAGAGAAGCCTGTGGTCAGAGCGCAGGGTCAGCCATTGTACAGCGCCCCTGGAGCAGCTGGGGTGAAGGGCCTTGCTCAGGGTCCCAACGGAGTAGGATTCCTCTGCCGGCTGAGGGATTTGAACCAGTAATTTGATTACCAGGGTCAGTTCACCGGAAACAGGCAAACCCGACAGCTGCTGTGTTACTGTGTGCTGTACACAAAGCAGTATTCTCACAGGAAGTGACACTGAAATATAAACCAGAGGACACCGCTTGGAGCTGCAGTTTAAAAAGGTTGTGGGGGAGAGTCTCTTGATGCCCAGGCTTTCTTCAAGAAACAGCTGAACAAGGACCATGTCTCTACTAGCTACTAACAGCCAAACGAGCTCCAAAGCCCCCCGAGAGAGTAGTGCAAATCAGAATCCAAATGTACACTAAACTCTTCGTATCTTCTCTTGTCACTTGTATGTTTTTATAAGCACACAGAACACACATCAGAGGGGCTTCCCAATTTAAACAAATTGTGTTTCTATAGTGCTTTTCATCCCAGAGCACTTTAAAGCACAGAAGTGGGAAACTTCTTTCTATTTTCCATTTAAAATACAGCTTTTAGGGGGGCAGTCAGTTCAAGCCCAAAGTCAGGACACAGGGTTTAACACCCCTGCTCTTTGGAAGAGTACCATGGGATCTGTAATGGCCATGTAGTCGGGACCTCAGCTTAAAACCAGGACAGCACCTCTCAGCAACAGTGTCCCTGGTCACCATAGTGGGAAGCAGGTTTGGAAATTCGAATCCAGAGGGGAGAGCACCACCTACAGGCCCCTCCAACACCACTTACAGTGGAAGACTGCCCTTGCCACTCGTTCTTTGGACGGTGTGATTTTTTCCTCCGGTTTCTCACCGTATGTCTTGGATGGCGGACCTGCGGTCTCTTTTCTTGCCCCAGATCTTCAGCGAGGTCACGAGCAGGATAATGAACTCCCCGTTCTTCATGCCGATGGCCACCATGTCCCCTTCGGGGCTGTAGCTGACAGTGCGGGCCGCGTGGCCCAGGTTCACTTTGTTGAGCATCTTCTGTTTTGGCAAGGAACACAGAATGCAGAACAATCCGTCACTCATGTCCCATCAGAGCTCGACAAGAACTCCACTAACACTCAACAGGGCGAATCCTCCTCTAAGGAGAACACCCTTAAAGTCCCATAGTATCTGCTTACAGACTGGACCTTGTCATGTTTTCAACATGCAATTTCTCAGGTTTCCTAGATCCGTTAGCTATAAAACAAGTGTTATTCTCCTCCACCTCTAACGATACTAATTCACATATTATATAAAACAGTTTTTACTTCAAGAACCGGACCGAGGCGCTCTGCTTTCCCGTTCTTCACCTCACGCCTCAAGTGACCCCCGGCTCACCTTTTCGGGAATGTCCCAGAGCCGCACGGTGCCGTCCTCGGCCGCAGACAGGAAGACGTCCCGCGTGGGGTGGGTCCCTAGGCCCCAGATGGGCCCGTCCATGTGCCCGTTGACGAGGATGTTGCACACCGCATTCTTCTCCCCGACTTCGATGATCTCTGCATTTCTTGTGCCGACCAAGATTTTGCCCTAAAATCATAACACGTTAAACATGAATGGTATTCTTCCAGCTGGCAGCAGGGACATGTTTAACACGATGTAGAAACCCTTTGATCATGGCCTGGTGAAACCGAAACTGCTCATGCTGGTATTTTAGTGTCCCCCTCTCACTGCACAAGTCTGCCTTCTCAGGAAGCTCTCTCAGGGCTGTCTGTTCCGTGTTTCACAAACGCCAACAGATGCAGACTGCTTATCACGCAGTGAGCCGGACAGCCTGTGAAAGACGCCTTCCTTAGTCGGATTGTCGGGTTTCACTTGGATCAAGGGGACAGAAGGAAACGGGTGGTACAGCGGCGCCGGGGTCCCGAATTCAACTCCCTGGCTTGCTGTCTGCGTGGAGTTTGGACGTCTTCCCCTCGTTCGCCTGGGGGTTCCTCCAGGTGCTCAGTTTAAATACGTGCTGGTGGGTATTCCGGCTTCTGGGAAATCTGGTCCTTGTGTGTGTGTGTTTGCGTGCGTCTGTGTGTGTGTATACCCTGCGATGGGCCGGCATTCCGTCCAGGATGTATCCTGCCTTGGGCCCCTGCTTGCTGGGACAGGCTCCTGCTCCCCTGCGGCCCCGAACTGGATGAAGTGGTAAGACGACGGACGGACTGGAGGGTGGGCGGAAGGAAGCTGGTTTCTGGAGGAAGCGGTCGGGCCTCACCTTGCCCCTGCACACGGAGCGCACGCAGTCGATGATCTGGCCGGTCTCCAGTCGGAAAGCCCGGCATCGCTTTAACTCCTGGTCCCAAAGCTTCAGGGCCCCCCCTTCCTTTGACCTGCAAGAAGCATTGTCCACATTTCCTTCACTTTCCAAATCCCCTTTCCCTCTTTTATTAACTGCAAGCGTAAATACATGAAGCTGGGTGGTTAGAAGCACACAGGATCTCAACGCCTTTACCAAACAATACAAATATTCTGTTTTTATACCATCTTAGGACTTGTATCATTTTTGTAACATGAAGTAGGAATTTGCCCTACTTGTAATCCCTTCATACAGGCTGCATGCTATCACAGCGCCAGAGCCCCCAGAGCGGGGAAGCTGGCATCAGGTACTTACGGTCTTTCCTTGCCCCCTGTGACTATCAGCCCGTCTCTCAGCGTGGTGTACATGGTGAAGACTGGGCCTGTGTGGGCTTTGGCCACGATTCGAACTAGAATGTGCTCCTTCCAAACACACACATCCCCACTTATGGTACCTGTAAATGTCAAGTTATTCTGAAAAGAAAACAAACCTGCACTAATCTAGTGACCTAAGGAAAAAAAAAACATTGCAAACAACGGTTCATCCATCATGCTGGAAAGAAAAACAAACATTCAAGTGTGCTACAGGAGACAGATCTCATGGAAGTATGTGACAGCCCTTTCATTTCATAAAACATGGCTGAGCATTTACATGAAGCTTCATCCTGAGGCATTGGAAATTTAACATACGCTCTAAATTAGACTCCAGCTCAGCTGATCCTAAGTGTGTGGTTCACGCATTTGTCTTTCCCCAACATGAATTCCAGTCAGCTTTCTCCAGTCTCCTCACGCTCAAAGGAGCAGAGCTGAATTAATGAGATGGAGATTAATGCCTTTTATGTTTTTGCTATTAAATGACATCTGGATTCACTCCGCGGTGAAGCACCCAGAGCCACTTGAAAGTGAGCAGTGAGTCCCAGTGAAACCCAACTGGTCAGTTCAGTGATATTTCTGGAGATAAATGGTGCCCCTTTACAATAAATTAGACTTATTTTGTGTCCAGAATATCTCATTTATGAAGTGTTTCAAATTGAGAGCTCACACGGAAGACTCCCTTTGATTGTTTTTAAAAATCCTTCTACAACTTTTGAGGGACACAGAAGAAGGACATTTTCCAGCAATGAGGCACAGAAATATAGTCCCTGTTGGTGACTGTTGGTGACTGTTGGTGACTGTTGGTGACTGTTGGTGACTGTTGGTGACTGTTGGTGACTGTTGGTGACTGTTGGTGACTGTTGGTGACTGTGAAAGGAAACCAAAAGTGCTGAACTTACAGCTCCAAACGCCACGGAGAGCATGGTCTGCATCCTGGCCTCTTCGATGGAGCTGAGCACGCCCTTCTTGCTGAGCAGCGCTCGCCCAGCCAGCGTCCAGAAGCGCACGTGCTTAATCCCCACCGACACAAACTGGGTGTCCGAGTCCGGCCTGAACTCCGCCACAAAGATGCGCTGGGTGTGGCCCGCCCGGCTGGCGACCCTGGCACCTGCGGGACACAGACAGACCGCCCGTGAGCTCCACGCGGGCAGCCGGGCCCCCGCCCCCATGCGATCCTCACGCCACCGGCAAGATTTCGGAACGTGTCGGGGCTCAGGCACGGCTTTTCCGCCTCACAGAGCTTTCTGTGCCCAGCAGTTTGAAGACACTCTCAAACCTCTGCATTTCAGGCAGCCTTCTCGGCCGCACGGCACGGGTCAAGCCTCCCGCAGTCTGTCCAGTAGAGCTGTGGCTCTTCTGCACACGCTACTGCAGCGCACATCCTTAACAGCTGAAGGCAGTGCTTCCGACTCAATGCACCTCTGCACTATGCACTTTGTGCATGGTCTACTGTGTTTTTTTTTCCAGTACTACATATTTATTGTTCTCTACAATATATGAATTGTTCTGGTTGTTATCATTTATTATGTTCGTCATGTAACGTCCACCTTGTGTGCTGTTGTCTGTTGTCCTGTGTACTGTATGTCCTGAGAGATCAGCGCAATGTACAGGTACAGGTGGCAATGGACTCCCCTGCTCTAGCCCGAGAGACATGGCAGGCCTGCGGAAACTGCAGTTTTCTCCCGTCTGACACTGGGCTCGCCTGCCTTTCCGGTACGGTTTTACCGATCGCTCACGGGCCACACCAGCGGCTCCAGAGCATCGCCAGACCACCGCAGACGCACAGCCAACGACGGCGAATGAGGAGAGCGCAGTGAAGGGGCCCCTTACCTTCCTGCCACTTCCAGATCGTGACGGTGTGCTCCGGGTCGAGCCCCGCAGACAGCAGCAGCTTCCCCGTGGCGCTGAAGCTGACGGAGCAGACGCCCCTGGTGTGGAAGCAGCGCAGCACCGACAGAGTCTGCTTGTTCATGGCGTCCCACACGTGGATGGAGGGAGAGGTGGCTGAGGAGAGGAAGCAGAGCCCCACGGTGACTCAGCCTGTGTCATTCTGATGCTGCTTATCCCCCGACTGCATGGTGATGAGCAGAATTTAACAGCCAAGGCGCAGAGCCTTATCACAGTGAAAGAGTGATGGAGAGCCCGTGTGGTCAGACCGAAGGAAAGCGACCAGAATGCCTTGGGGCCGACGGCTTCTTCTTCGTTCGTCACCTTTATTAGATTACTGGGATAAACTTCCTTACGGACCTTTCCAACAAGCAAATATTTTTACCCCTAAATTGTTCCAGATGTAAAGCTTGCCTGCTGGTGCGCTATTCTTGATTTTTGTCTAATCCTCCCACCCACAAGGGAATAAGGCAGATGGAGGCCTTGTGTATTTTACCACTCATCTGTCAAAACGTCCCTTCACATCTCCTTCCTCTTGCAGTTATCCAGTTAGCGGTTTTTTAGATTAGCAGCAACCGTCTGTGACATGACACATCCTTGTTTCAATGAAAGGAGTGTCAGTAAAAATAAATAGCCAGCAGCTCTATCACCTGCAACTCCCAGCTGGCAGCCCACTGGAGCTCAGCAGGTGTGAGCCTGGCCAGCGCCTGGAGCGGGGACCTCCTGGGAAAGCTAAGGTTGCTGCTGGAAAAGGTGTTAATGGGGCCAGTGAGCTCTCAGTATTAGTGGGGCATTAGGTGTAGTATATACAGTATTGTACAGTATAACTGGGGAAACTCTACTGTACAATGTTGCCATCCTTCGCATGACACATAAAACTGAGATCCCAACTCTTAAAAATCCTAGGGTGTTTCTCAAAAACAGTAGGGTTGTTACCCCGATGTCCTGGCCAAATTTCACCCTGGCCTCTACCTCCTAATAATGACCATCTATGAACTGGATTCATTTATTCAGTGTTTTCCTTCTGTGAGAGTACTGGAGCACTTCGGCTGCCCTTCTGTCTTCCAGATGGGACCTACACATTGGTGGTGGTGGGGGGGAGTCCCCATTTCCTGTAAAGCACTATATAAATGTAAGGATTATTTATTTAAAACCTGAAAACCAAACCCAGTAATAGAAATGCTGTACTGTGGTTGAAAGACTTTTGCATGGCGTCTTTATTCCACTAGGTGGCAGTAGTTTGCAACAAAGTAAGGGAGCAAGAAAAAACCATTACCTGGGTACAGTATGTTGCCAAAACTAAATCTATTATCATTTTGGATTGTGGCAAAGCGCTATATGAAAATAACCTACCAGAAGTTGCATTCTGTTGTTGTGTAATGAGGATTTTGCAGTGTTTAGAGCTCTGGACTCAGAACTAGCAGGTTCTGGGTTCAAGTGCTGGGTAGGTCAAGACTATTTGTACTCTTAAGCAAGTGAACTTGTTTGTTTTGCATCAGTTAAAGTTCCAGCTGTGTAGAAACGTAAGATGCTTTGAAAGCATCAGACAAATCATCTAAATTAACAAATCAAACAAAATATCAGGTTTCACACAGGCAGAGAATGCATTAATTAATGTCAAGGAAATTAAATGCATTCAATTTTCATGAGCAAAATGGCTAAGCTTATATGTAATTAGAAATTTAACAACACAGTACCTGACATGTCTGCAGAGTCACCTAAAATTTAAAAATAAAATTGGTTAACATACAGTAAAATCTAAAAAATAACTAAATTTCGCTACACATAGAAGGCTTGTCGAGTCTAAAGGGCTTGTGTGGAAAGCAGATCATGTGTTTAACACTCATTTTTATGTTTTTGTGCAAATATTTAGTGTATAAAATGCGATACTGCAATCTAGTTCAAGACCAAGCAAAAGTTAAAGGATGCAAGATTTGCAAAAAGGGAGAGAGAAAACATCTAGATGTTAAATACTGTATGTCTAAGAGAATTGAAGCACAGAAACTATATCACACTTTAATACCGTAGATCCACTGGTAACTCCTGATGTGTTTCATGCTTCAAAGTACCCACACGGAACTATGCAAAATGTTAGATTTTATTTAATGCCTACAGCATAGGTGCAAGTAAATGTGATTTATTGTTAATTTTTCACAAACATACCTACTTGGCCTGTTGCCACCACGTTTGGGAATTTGGGGTGCTGGTTAATGGTCAGGCACAGAATGTCATCTGTATGCTCCATGTAAAAACTCTGACAAGCTGTGATCAAACATACAAAAGCACCAAATCAAGCAAAAGAACAAAATACGTTAACGTGCAGATTAATTATAATGTGCAACAATCATGACTTCTAACAAGAAATTCTTTCCTAAAACAACAATCCATCCATTTTTGAACTGCTGCTTCTGATTCTGGGTCGCAGGGGAGGGGAGAGCAAAGCCTATCCCTGCAAGCCACAGGCACAAGCAAAAACAGAATAATTCAGCGTTACAGTTACGCTTTAGGTATTTTTGTTTTAATTTACAATTCTGTAACAGAATTCAACATGCAAAGGATGCTCTGAAATAGACTTCAAACCTGAACCGGTGAAATAAGAAATCCTTTTTTTTTTGCTACACAAGTCAGCACATCTCCTCTCAAACGACTAGCAAATTTCAATAGGAAGAAATAACCTCACTCATCCAAGCAGAAAATGCTGACAAGGGTCCTCTTAACCGAGGTAAATAAAAACAAAATTGGGCGTATGTTTCATTCAGACTTGGATGGAAAAGAGGAACCGATTCCAGTAGCTCACAGCAAGCTTCCACTGTGTGAAGGGAAGAAGCCTCCGGCAACTGGAAGCTTCCATTGAGCCTCAGGGGTTATACAGGCGTAATAAACTGCAGGCCACTTCCTCACCTGTAGTCAGACTGAGAACAATCCCCACCGAGGCCGTGTGATATATGATGTCGGCTCCTTCGTTTAAATAGTGGACGTTGTTCCTGCAGTCGTTGCCTCTGTAGCCGAACACCAGCTCCAGCACCAGGTCCTGCGAGGGGGAGGATAGAGGCTACTGAGAGCCCGCCGGAAATCCGGGCCAGACCTGCTGCCGGCTTCCAGACTTCCTCGCCCTTTCCCCAATCCCCAGACGAGAAGCACCATTTCCACTTCGGGACACAACGTTGCTTCTCAAAGCGGGGGTGTATTGGTTATTGTAGGTTTATTTTTTTCCATGAAGAGCTCCTTTTAGTAGATTCACAATCCTTTCACTGTTGTGACGGCCAGCAGCCTTATCACCCTGCAACTGACAACTGGAAACCCACTGGAGCTCAGCAGGTGTGAGCCTGGTCAGTACCTGGACAGGAGACCTCCTGGGAAAAACTAAGGTTGCCAGTAGGGTCAGTAGCGGGCGATAACCTTGCGCTCTGTGGGTCTTAATGGCCCAGTATAGCTATAGGGTTACTATACTGTAAAAAGGCGCCAGTCAGATGAGATGCAAAACCGAGGTCCTGACTCTCTGTAGTCATGAAAAATCCCAGGGTGTTTCTCGAAAAGAGTAGGGGTGTTACCCTGATGTCCTGGCCAAACATCCCATTGGCCTTTACCAATCATAATAATAATCCCCATCTATGAACCGGCTCCATCACCCTGCTCTCCTCCCCACTGAGAGCTGGTGTGTGGTGAGTGTACTGGCGCACTATGGCTGTTGTCGCATCATCCAGGTGGGGCTACACACTGGTGGTAATAATTATACTTCCTGACACTTATATGGCGCTTTTCTGGACACTCCACTCAAAGCACTTTACAGGCTGCACTATACAAGCGTAAGGAATTATTATGCATCATTCTAGTGAACACCAAGAAGCAAGATAGAAAAATCAACACTAAGCTTCCAGTCTGGGTGTCTGCCAATTGTCCAGTAAGCACGGGCTCGGACGGCATCACTCACCTCGATGGGGCGCTTCTTCTTACCCACATTGTTGGTCTGCAGCTTCTCAGGTTGCGGCAACGCCCTACTTACAGGGGGTCTGAAACAGAGAACTGTGAATAAGAAGAGCTGGTCTGTCACCCGTTCCAGACTAGAGCAGCCGAGTTCCGAGCTCTCTCTATGCAAGCACAAGGAAAACGGTTGTGCTCTGGAAAGGCAGAATGAATCGCACGAGTCCATCAGAATTGCTTTCACAGTGTTTTGGAATGACTGGAAGGAATCCGTTTAATAAATTACAACTTTGCATGTACGTGTATGATGCTTTTCAGTTCTTTTTCCAGTTTTTTAACGTAGGAAACCTGCAGTGACAGACTGCGTCATAGCAGGGTAAAATCTTTACTGCTGCGTGTGTTCACAGCTCTAGGTGATAACAGTATTATTAATCCTTACTGTGTGCAGTGCCTTTCGGGACAGGATCTTAAGGTGTTTTACAACAAAACAAGACTAAAGAAAAACCAACAGATACACCTATACTCAATTAAATTCATTTAATAGTAACAAAACAAATGAAGCAGCACATTAAACAGAATTAAAAGCCCAAGTTTAAAGCAGTTTTAAGAAAGGATCTGAAAGTGCTGAGTGATTTGCAGTATACGACCTGAGCTACAGTGAAACTGCAGTTTGGACATCAAAACCCATTAATCCATATATAATCCACATATACCTAATTAAGGACGTAATTATATAATGCACAGTGTTCAATCTGCCATATATAGAATTTCAATAATATAAATCATCGAGGGCCACTCTATTCAGGGCCTGTAATCAAATTGTCATGTGCTCAGTTCTCTAAGTTCTAAGCACAGGGTACCTTGTGCAGGCAAGCCACCGTAAAAGATAATTCAGGATTAATTGTATACACGAATGTAAACCACAAAACCCAACCACTCTGTAGGAATATTTTGATCCCAGGGCCCTGGTTGAAGTAACATAACAGCAGGCTTTAATCCAAAGTTCATATCTTCCCCTGAGCTTTATTTAGCCCCAAAATAGCTTCGGCATGTAACTTAGAAACACAAAGCTGACAAGCACAGTGCATCTGAATATCTGACCACCGTTCAAGTTCTAATGTTATAATGCAAAACTAAAAAACCCTGAATGGGGTTTTTGCTATTTTTAGTTTGCAGCAGGAACTAAAAGTCCCATCATACTTAAAATTACAATCACCTGTTCCATAATCCTTACGGCTGTAGCCTACACAACAGAAAATAAGCAGCTACACCATTATGTTCAACTGCTATTTAAAAGCATACCTATTATATTAGGTTCAAATTAACCAGACTTTTTACAAAAGCAAATAACTGTCTGGAAAGTCATTTGCAATCATTCCAGTGGGATTATGTGCATGAAAATGCCTGGCTGAAGCCCTAGGGACCTTTTAACTGTGACTGTGAATTAATAGTGCTTTACTCCTCAGAAAAGCTTCCATTCAGCAGGTTCACTTTTTCACAGCATCAACAATTCGAAGATCTTAGTAGCCATAGAGCATTACTAATTCATTAAATAATGACTGAACTTTAGACAAGAAGGTAAGAGCTGTGGAGGCGTGTTACGTTTTTATTTCTGATGCGATAGCCTATCAGGATGCGTTATCTCACGCTGCAGTGCTGCAGTTCGAGTGTCTGTGGCCCAGTCAGATCCCTCAGACTTCCCATAATGACTACAGGATCACAATTCACAATTAAGCAGTACATTGAACATTAACATGACATTAAACTGCGTCACTTCGGAAGAAGACCAGATAATGTCATTCTAACACTGAAATAAAGTTAGTTCCTCAGACCCTGTATAGCTAAAAGGCGCTGAAAGACCTCTCCCCCTCACTTATCCCAGCCCCTAAATCCACTGAGATCCTGCCTTTCAGACCGCTTGGTCGAAAAAATGTGCAAAGTTGACTGCTATAAGTGCAGGGGGAAGAAACAGCAGGAAAACTGTCAGGTGTAATTAACTTGTGTGAAGGAATCTATGCTTGTTTGCCCCCACAAAAGGATGAGATCCACTGAGAACTGAGTTTTTTTCCTTACGGTTCTAACGGTGAAGGCAAAGGACTATGAAATTCTGCTTACCTGGACCCTCTTCCCAGCAGCAGGCAACAGAAAAGAGAGTTACATGAATACAGTGTCCTGCCTGTTTACACCACAACACAACACTTCCTTCACAGGAGACACAGAACAAAAAACAGTTACATTCTTTGGCTTAAAGCTCAAAGCTGTGCTATTAAATCAGTAGAACTACACCTAATATCAATGCATTTAACACTTATTCCAGTGGTGCTATTACTACTGCTGGAACAGTGTCCTGCATAATGGGGAAATGTGTGTTTCTATGTACTCTTTGTATTGGACTGCTCAATTGAATATAAAATATCTCAATAATAATATTAATAATCATCATCATCATCACAGGAATACCCAGTGAATGCATAGAGTTTCATTGATCATCCAGGAAGATCAATGACTACTTTATAAAGTGCTTTTATTTCTTACCTTACTGTATTACTACAGAGTTGCATATTAAAATTGGCCCATGAATGAAATTGATTATTTTCACTTTGTATTAACACTTCTTTAACATGAATATTGACAGAAAGAGGAAGAAGTCTTCTCTCAGACCTTTCTTTAGACCCTGTTATTTCTTTCATCTTAACTGATCCTCCAGGGTGCACTGAGAAATCCCATTTAGGTTACAAAAAAGCAGACTTGAGAGGTCTATTAAATAATGTGTAATATATTGCAGTTTGCCTTTCAGGAGCCTGGAAGAAGAAAACGTTCCCTTTAATGTAATAAATAGGAATGTCCAAGGCAAATAAATCAGCAGTGTGATTGGTAATGTGTGCGACTGACTTATTTACTTATTTTGTAGAAATCACCTTACCTGACTACTCCCTGCCTTCAATGGAAACAAAGGACAGCACAGCAGAAAGAAGCAAAGAGAGAAAATTACAGAAGAGCAGGAAGAAGCAGCACAGACCTTCTCTAACTGTCAATTTTGATCAAGTCAGATAAAAGGAAAGAGAGAAGCCAGAGCCGAAGTGTTCTGGTGGAAAGGTGTGGCTCACGTGGAACCAAACACCTAAGGTTCAAGAACAATGTAGGAAATGCATCAGTCACCACAAAACTGGAGTTTGGAAAACTAAGACCTCTCCAAGGAACATACGGCACATCTTAGCTCTGGATTTCTCTTCAAGGAAACTGTTTCCTGATACTAATTTCTGCAGGTACCTTTCGTCAACAGTTGGCTCCTTCTGCTGCAGATGTGGCTTGATCCCTGACATTGGTCGAAAGTTGGTCGATAAGGCCTTGATGGTGTAGTTGATTTCATTCTCCCTCGTCACATCGCTGTCGTATCCTAAGCGGGTGGCAAGAGAAACAGGGGTGTTGTAGCAGCTCCACAGCTGTCCAAGTAATAAAGAGTGAAGTCCCTATTCAGCTCACTGTTCCTTGCAGGTAGTCTTTCAGCTTTGCCAGTCTCACTAGTTGACTTACACTGGTCAGAGTAGGGCTCCCACCTCTGGGGGAAAGACCCCCTGCACAAGCATCTTCATAAACCAGGACTTAATGCTTATTGACAGCTTGGACACAGCCGCCAATAGGATCTTTGGTGTCCGAGCAATCTGAGCAAATTCAGAAGGACAAATTCAGATTCCTAGTGCATAGATTGAAACTGCACTTTGGACATCAAAACCCTTTAATCCACATATACCTGATGATATAACACACTGTATTCCATTTGCCATATATACAATTTCAATGATATTAATCATCAAGGGCCTACTCTGTTCAGGAATATTTTGTTTCAGAGAGCATGCAGCTGTTCCTCTGTCAGCTCAGCAATTCCGGACACCCACCCCCGTCGTCTTCCGATTCAATGTCCGATTCCTCGCTGTCGCCCTGCCGACTCTCCCGGTGGCCCTCCGGCTCGTGGGTCCAGATCATCAGGGAAGTGTCCCCCCCTCCCGCAGTCACCAGCAGGGCGTCGTCGTGTGTCCAGCGCACGTTGGTGACGTGCGTGCTGTGAGCGACGTACCTCTTGAACTTGGCAAACTTTCCCTGGGGCCACAACAACAGAACCGTCTTCCATGTGAAATCCAGCCACTGCTGCTATCAATGACTTACAATGTTTTGCCTTTTTTCTTTAAGAAAGTGAGAAGGAAATGAATTTGAAAAAAACGTGCCACGAGTAAACCAACCCTCCTCTCTCTGTGGCTCATAATTTCCTTCCTCTGTTGCTTTGGCCTGTTTTTCTTGGGTTTTTTTTTTTGCAGTAACCTGAACGTATTTGCCTTTCAACACATCAGTTACTACAAAGAAGAAGCCCCATTAGTGGGAAACATGGACATTTCTTACCTTCACGGGATACCTGAACAGTTTGACGTAGCCAAAATCATCCCCAGTGACCAAGACCTTTTTATCGCTGGTCAGGCAGGCAGCGGTCACGTCTGTGACGTCGCTGACCACAGGCCAGATGCCCTCACACGAGGGGCCCAAAACACAGGTCCACGAGCACCAGTCGATCTTCTCCACCTGCGGAGAGGTCAGGAACACGGACGGAACAGAAAGATTTCAAGGTGGGTTAAGAGGGAATGTGTACATAAGCTGCATAGAGAAAGGCAGTTAGCTGCCAGTTAGACACCGCCTTGCCAAACAGAATGTGGGGATTACGGTTAAAAACTTAGAAATTAAATCAAGACAAGCAATGTTAAAATTGCGTGATGCACTTGTAGCACCTCATTGTGAATATTCTGTACAGCTCTGGTCGTCACATTAGAAATACTGCTGCTCTAGAGTGCAGAGAAAAGCAGCAGGATACGTTCTGTAAAGAAATGCCCTGACTGCTTCTACACTGACAGGGCAGAATCCCTTGAATCCCTGTTCATCTGGAACAGTGACTATAAGGAAAATGACAAGGCGAGGTCAATGCTATGGACACAAGTGGAAATCACAGGGAAGTGCAGTTAAAAAAAAAAAAGTGAGAACAGGCAGGAACACCAACTGGTGTGGGAACAAGCTGTGCAGGCATACGGTCACACCTGACATCCTGGTTTCTTTCAGGAAAATGGCTGAACAAGAGACTCGGATCAATAAGCTTCCAGAAACCAAATTAACAATATTAGCTTGATGTGCCTTTGACTGTGTCTGTTTCTGCAGTTTATGTTTAAAAGTATAATTGAGGTCTCCTTCTCTGGTAACTTCTTACATCAAAACTGACAAGATTAGACTTATCAAACCTTTTCAAAACTAGGACGCACTAATGCCAAACCACTTTTTTTCCCACCCTTGTCCTCAGGAGTTTTTAAAAGTAGGACAACCGCATTATCTGCAGCTGCACCCAGATTGTTCTCGGCTTGTTCCTACCTCAGATGCTGGAATCGTCTGCTTTTTGCCACGGGGGGCTTCAAAGAATAACTGTTCTTTAGCACCACTGTTTACTTGCAAAAGCTTCCCTGTTAAAATAAAAAAATGAACAGACAAAGCACATTCTAGGATGAGTAGTTCCAGGTACTACGTTTGCCTTTTCATTTTGGAGAGAACGTCTCCAGCAATAGATTCAGTTTAAAATTCGTATAAAAACAAATTCATCGGGGAAAAAGAAACTGGAGACTCGCGCGCGTCCCCCTGCTGTAGGGTAGGGAAGGACTGTTCAGTCACACACCTCTCTTGTCCCAGTCCAGATGAGTGATGTAGCTCACCGCCCCTTTGCAGACTCCCACTCTCTTGCTGCTCATGACGTTGTAGATGTCGATGAAGCTGTCGCAGGACGCCACAGCCAGGTACTTCCCAGCACCTGACGAAACACAAGAGCCTCCTTCCCTCAGGCATTCCGACAGTACGATCCCAGCGGAGCGGCGCGGCCATGAGAGTGCAAAAACAACACGCAACGTCCTTGCGGAAAACGAAGGAGTTTTCATCTGGCTGCTTCTTTGTGAACTTGAACTTTATTGCCATATGTAACCGGTACTGGTACAATGTAATTCTTATTTACAGAAAGTCTCTCGATTGTAAAACAAGTGTAAAAAACAAAATAAAGTGCAAACAGTGCATCAAGAACAAAACAAAGTGCAAACAAACAAAGTGTGTAACAACTACTGGTTAATATACACACTATAACAACATGTAGATAAGATAAGATCACTTTATTGGCCATATACAATCTCTTGTATTAGGAATTTGTCTTTTTGCATACCCCAGCTTGCTCTCTATGAGACACACAGACAGGGAGAGAAGCTTGGGGTCAGAGCACAGGGTCAGCCACTTATACAGCGCCCCTGGAGCAGTTGGGGTTAAGGGCCTTGCTCAGGGGCCCAACGGAGTAGGATTCCTCTGCTGGCCATGGGATACGAACCGGCAACCTTCCAGCCACAGGCGCAGATCCTGAGCCACAGAGCCACCGCTCCGCCCTAATATATGTATAACTCTTTCCCACCATTTGTGCAATTACAGGCTTACATGATTATTTGTAACAGTTCCTAACAAGATATCATTTTGGTTGAAGGCTAAGAGCAGAGCTCCGGGTAGGGAGAGATCAGGTGGAAATGATGGATAAACACCATTAAGGACTTGAGAGTTCACAACGACTTTGTGTAAGTGCCCCTCAGTAACAGTGGTCCTGGTTATGTTCATGTGAAATGTTACTTTGCTGTGTGGCTGTTTTATTGTGTTGTGGAGTCTTTATGAGGGAGTATTGACAGTGTATGTTAGTCACATTCAAAAACAAACTGAGAAATATTGACCTGCTGCAAACCTGTGGAATCTTGTTACAGAGGTCTAAAGTAGCAGGTAAGTGGGAGCTTTGCTGAACCAAATATGTGAGGACGTTATTTATAAAGGTCAAGGAAGTAAAGCTTAAATCAGTCTTTGAAATATCGCATGACGGTCAGCTGAGAAATAAGTTTCAGGAGTAACTGCTTTGATTTAATGTAGCAAGACGAACAGGATTGCTGCGTATTTGAGGAGAGCCTTCTGGTTTGCTTTGCTCCACAAGGAAGAAGATTTAGCCTCGGGGGTCTTCCCTCCCCTTACTGCGATCTTTAACACCCCCACCCCTATCTTCATTTCACCATCAGCCACCAGGCAAGCGGGTCAGCTTACAGTTAAACCCACTTTATATTCCGAAAACCTGGAAACTCCTGTCAGGAGAATAAAAAGCGGAGGGAAGGCCATACTTGTGGCCGGTTGTAATATTTTCGAGGGTGCCGACCCGCTGAACTGTACAGCACGCACTCGCTGCCCCGGACCTTCTCACCTGGCGAGAACCGGATCTCGGAAAGGACGTCCCTCCTGTGGTGGAAGGAGACCAGGTCCTCCAGCGTGTCGGCGTTGACGATGATGAAGCTGCCGTCGTTGAGCCCCACAGCCAGGGCCTTGCCATCGGGAGAGAAGCAGCAGCACCGCCCCCCTGGGAAAGACACAGGACACTCCACCGGTCACCCTCTCCGGGAACCAGGGAGCCACACGGTCCCGGGCCGCTGCATTTACCTGCGCCGTCAAGACCAGGCCCGCGTGCCGCCATTACAGGGGAGCTGCAGCAGGAGGCGCGAGACTGAAAGACGTGGAACAAGGAAGCAGCATTCGCGGAGGACTCCATTACTGTCCTCCTGGAGGAGGGGAGGCAGCCCCTCCAGGTTTTTAGCGCTTTGGAATGACAAACCCCACGTGTTCGCCTCCGCTTGCTGAGCGCTCCACGTGGTGCTGAAGAACTGCGAACGCGTCGGGCAAGGCCTCGAACGAGACGTTGCTCGGATCCCTTGAAAGACACTCGGTTTACCTTTCCTGAGCTTCCGTACGGCTAGCATGCAGTGGCTCGGAGAGAGGTCCCATATCCGCAGGGTCCTGTCGTCGCTCACGGTGGCGCAGAGCGGGAGGTGGGGGTGAGTGGCCAGGCCCCACACTTCCCCCTCCATGTGGCCCTGTCGGATGATGTCGGCAGAGACAGGGGGCCCATGAGCAGGTGGGATAGACACGGTCTCTCAGGGGGCCAAGTTGTAAAATGCCCGCACACGGGTTTATTTCAGTCAAGAAACTCGTCGACAAAATAGTAATGAGTCTCTCATAGTTGCTTCTGACCACCAGTCAAGTGCATTAGTGCATTAAAATCAGACCTGAGCAATGAAATCCTTTGCAGATGAGTCACTCCTAATTTGAAACACTGACCTTAGTGCCCTTTCAATGGATAAAACGTTATGAGCAGCAGCAGGCTGGAAGTACTGTATTTAGATTCTTTAAAAAATAAAATAAATAAGGCACTAGGTAAGTACAATATTTATGAAAACAGCTGCACCAAATTTAAAAATATATATTTCTGATAAAAAAAGGATGCTTAAATGTATAAAAATTCATGTTCAATGTTCAACATTTTCAACTGCGGTCTGCTTCATTAAAACTTACTCAGATGCTGGAATTAAGCATACAATCATACTGGTTTACCTCATGAAAAGTGGGTTACTTGCCCTAAAGCATTTGAAGGGGCAATTAATTACCCAAGCAGGGGGCAATAACAGGCCAAGGACATTCCGGGACAGGAAGAGGGTAGTGCTCTACTTTCTGTTGAGAGGGTCTGTTGGATTACAGCACAGAAACCCTCCCATCATCAGACCAAGAGCTGGCTCCTTATTCTGTCCCCTCCAGGCATTATTTCACCGGAATGTGGTAAATCTACAGATTTAACTGTCCAAGATTTGCTACCTTTTGTATGATCTGAGACTTCAGGTATAAACCAAAGCTGTCCTAGAAGCATATCAGCCTGGCCTGATCTGAAGCCCTTTTATTAGTGGAGTGCCACAATGTTTCCAGTAGTAAGCTACATTGGGCTTAGCAATCGAGCTGGACTTCAGTTAAAAGATGCACCAGATGATGCACAGGAGGAAAAAAGGAAATATCTCCAAACTAATCTTCATCTTCACCTGAACCAGCAGTGTTATCGGTCCACTTTTGTCCACCTCCAAGATCTCCCCGTTCTTGGTGCCGACCAGTATGTGGCCATGACCCAGAGAGATGGCTCGAATGGAGGGGTTGTCTTCCAGCAGCAGACCTGAAAGCAAGCCCACCAGAGGAGAGGGTTTCCGAACAATTTCCAGACTGCAGCGCTTCAAACACGAAAACAAACTGTTCAGGCAGGTTTTCGGACAGGCTGGGTATTGACACTGTACTTCAGAAAAGAGTCTTTTGTGGGGTTTTTCCCCCCAATTAGCTGTGTAACTTGTTGACATGCCTTGAATTAGTTAGCAACCAGTTCAAGCTACAAATTCTTTATAATACCTTACAAAATACTAGATATAAACTATAAAGTCTACATATACAGTAGATAGTGCAGTAAATAAATATATAGTATTGCAATATATAGCTGCAATAGCTGAAATGAAATCCTAACTGGTCCTGGCATTTGCTCAGACAGATTCAAAATATATCTGTGAATGAGATTTAAAAGAATACTCCTGACCGACTTGTGCCTTCCAACCACTGCCACCGATAAATGAGTCCTATTAGGCGAACATGCACACACTGTACCTTTGGAACCCGGAGCAAGCACAGATCTCTTGATGGCATACGTCTTGAGGCATCGTTCAAAGGTGTCGTCCCAGAGAGCGACAACTCCATCCTTCCCTCCTGTGACAAACCCCTGAGGGAAAGACAAGGGGCGCGGATGTTCAGGGCTAAACCGCACTTTCCCTGCTGCAGCATCTCAACACTTCAGGACCACAGGACCAGAGCCAGTAGGAGGTCTTGACCAAAAACCGAAGGTTACGCCACATTAAGGCACGAGGATTGCAGGACAAGTGCAAGAGGAGAAGGTGGTACCAGGACCTTCAGAGGTATTTAAAAAAAGAACAGTTCATTCACACCCTTGCCTAAGAGAATCTTCTTGCCTTTTCCAGTGCATGCATGCTGAACACAGGCCCATCATGAGCCTTGACGGTTTTGATGAGGTACATGTCCCTCCAGATGCAGAGGTCTCCAGTGCAGGTTCCTGAGAAGACCATCTCCTCTGTCCACCCGTACACAGCACACATCATGGTCTCCATCTTCCCCACATGGCCTTTTCTCCCTATCAGCCCCCCGCCTGCAACAAAACACAGACCCTCGCCGTTCAATGGGATATTACAGCGCCCCTTTATCAAAATTAAAATAACGTTTAACTTGTTCTTTTGTGGCCAATACATGCTGACAGAGCTCCCCACTTTTAGATAGGCATGTTTGTTATCGGACAAATCTGACTGCATTCTTTATTGTGGATAAGTAAGAATGTGTGGACTGCTTTTCTAAAAAAAAAAAAAAGATCAACTTAATCAAATACGGAGTTATGTTATTTGAACCATACCTGCTTTGTGCCAGAATTTCATGTGCTTCACTCCAGCCGTGATGAGCTTCTCTGGCATGTATGGATTTATTTTGACAACAAAAATCTTGTCTTTGCTCCCTCTAGAAAAAAAAAAATTAACAGTCAGATGACACTTTAAATAATGAAGCAGAGCATAATCGTACAATTTTAAGATTGTTCAATGGCAAATTTGGCAAAACTATAATCAGTGCCAAAGGAATTATTCAGGTAAGAGAGATGCCTGCAGTTTTGCAGCTTAGATCCTGGGGATAGATCCCTCTGTAATTATCTACAGGGCTCCTCAGTGTACCAACTCCAGCTTGCTTTGTGCTCAACAAGTCTCTCTGATTAGTTTAGCACTGAACACATCAGGCTACTGCCAACAGGTGTCTGTAACACAGATTACTAAAACTTCCAGCTCCTTATGAATTGTGTTGGTTGCAGCTGTTGTACAATACAATTGACCAACAGAACACAGGTTTTAAAACATAAACTTTCAGAGTTTTACTTACTTCCTTGATCAATTAAATAATCCATGCATAGCTACGCAATTTAATGATCTCTTTGGTCAATGCTTTAGACGTAAAGACCACCTTCCTTTGTGAATTTAAAACTGATTTGTGACAGGATACCTAAAAGCTCTCAAGCTGGGTGTGAGAGGGAAGTAGATTAAGGCAAGATGGAGATTCTTGTCAGAAGTAGTTCACATGTAGGGTGAGAGTTTAAGAACCAAGAAGCTAAGGCTTCCAGAGTAAGTCAATACAAGCCGTTTGTAGACCGAGAACAGATTCTCTGAGAAGGAGAGAGAGAAGGAAGAAAACAACTAACTGAGAGAATGACTGGTGGACTTTTTGTATGTTTTTGACATGTGTGTTTTGTTGCTAGTTAACTGCTTAGCTTCCTGTTTGTCCATAGAGGAAACTGAAGAAGTCTTGTTTCAATTTCAAAAAGGAGCTCAGACATTTGTTTTTTGTTTTGTAGCGTCGTTTAGTTTCCTTGCAGTTTATTTAAAGAACACACACTCTTTACCCTACAGCTGTTTTGTGTGTCTGTTTTATCAGAACCAGTCTTTTAATGTTTCTGGTTATGACAGCCCACTCCAGGCTGTGTAATACTGGCAAAAATGATATGCAATAAGGAAACGCCACCAAAAAAGAACAAATCCTGGCACATCCTGTCAGAGATCAGAAAGATCGGCAGAATTTATCTTTCAGCTTTTGTTATGGCAGAGTTAAGTGGAGCTGTCTTAGAAAGAATGGATTGAAAGTCAGCAGGGAGCTTCCTTTTAATCAATCACCAGCACATATGAGATACTCAATTTGCAGCCCGTGGATAAATTATGGCGTTAAACTTGGTGGTGCTAAGTAGATAATATTTCTCACAGCATAGTAAGAGCCACTTCCACAGACAGTCATATAGGATCTAAATGTGAACGCAGGCAGCGGTTGTGAAAGATGCGTTCATTAAAAAATATTAATATTTCATTCTTTCTCGCGTACAATGATATAACGGTTCATAACCCATAGTCCGTTTAAGAATGAAACACCTTCTGTCAAGCAGAAGACGATGGAGTTTCCAAATAGCTCAGGGTTTAGGGACACAGTGAATGAAAACAAAATCAATTATACACCTATTACAAATGCAAATGCAATAATTGTACATTTCAAAGTCCACCAGATGATAAAACACATAAGAGAACTCCCAAACTGAAGTAACTCTGGAGAACAACGAAGCTCAGCCATGACCAATAACAATGTCGCTCATGACGATAGGGGTGAAGAGGTATATTTCCCACCTGACTGCCGAGAGCTTCTCTCCCTTCCTCCAGTCCCACAGAACAAGAGTGTGGTTGTCATCCAGCCCCACTGAAGCCAATCGCTTGCCATCCGCTAAGGACAAACAGCCACGTCATACAGTGAGACCAGCACTCAAAACACGCCCTCCCTTCCAGCGCTCACCCAAAGGAGCACGTTCAGCTTTCTTGTTAAGGGGTCGTTACAGTACACCCCATAAAAAGCCTCCGTTCGTTTACATTGCTGTCACAGCAGCCCTGTAAATGGCTAAAAAAAAAAAAAGAAAAAAAGGTAATGGGAAAAAGACCTATTGTTCTTGAGTGAAATTGAAACCAGTGAGCCCGGCATACCGTCAGAGCTTTTGGTTCGTTGACTGTGAAGACCCCGTCAGGCGTATCTGGGCCTGGACAAGGTCGAACAGTAAACTACCAGTCATGAACGTGTGTCATGTTCGTCAACTGCGCTCTTCAAAACATGCTTGAGCAGCTCCAGAGTCGTCTGTTAGCAGACACGCCGCACAGCCCCAGGAACATGCGAGCACAGGGCCGTACTCGTTAAATGTGAACATACTACCGACCGTAGTGAGTGTTTCAAACATGAAATTTCTGTTTTCACACAATGGGTGAAGGCACAATCTATTTTGGCCCGAACTAAAATCTGCGCTTCAGGCAGCATTTCTGTGGTGATTTGTGGTAATCTTAACTAACAACAGCTTGGCACGGGATTGTTTGTCTCTTCATTAGCTCCATCATTTGGACATGATGTCACTATAGGTCCTTCAGATATGTTTGCCAGATAAAACGTGTAGAGCGACAAATAATATCTTGCTTGTCTCAGAAGTAAGAATCACATTGGTGACACAGAAGAACCTACAAGAACAACTACACAACAAAGCTTCAGAATGCCCTTCTGTAAAGCACAGAAGGCCTGAATCAAACATACAGTATATCACACAGAAGGCCTGAATCACATCTTATTATAATCAAATGTATTTCTTCCCTTCTCGTTGCAGTAAAAGCAAAGCCTGAATGTCAGGCAGATTACCAGAGAAGTATTTCTATTCTTTTGGCCCTTTCTCTTTAGCCATGGTAAACCACAAAGATAAGCAAACCCGAACGCCATTATGCAACAAGTCAACTACAGGGAGAAAAAGCCATTTTTTGTTTTAAATGCATTACCTGAAAAATCCACACCACAAACGCCATACTGGTGATATCCCTTCAGGACAGACAAGGGTTTCAGCACCTCGGTGTCCCATATGTGAATAGAAGAATCTCGCCCCACCTGGTTAAAAAAAAACACTGGAAAATGTATACATCTTATCTGAAATACACGAAAAGTATCTCCCACTGATGCATGTCAGAATAAACACAGTGTGCTTTTTCATTGCATATTTTAAATGCTACCAGGTGGCTTTGCTAGGGATTACTGCAGTCTTACCTGGCCTGTTGCTACATAGTCCTTGAGAGGGTGGATTGCCAGGCAGAGGATGTCATCATCGTGCCCGAGGTAAAAACGCTGTGTGTTCTGCTGTCGATTGTACACCACCCCCACTGCAGCCACGTGGTACACAATCTCTCCAGTCTGCGTGTAAAACAGGTTACTCCTGCAGTCATAACCCCGGTATCTGGGTTATTGGAAAAACACACACATGCAGAGTCAATAAAGAGAACCCGCAGGCACTGAAGATCAGACTTGTGACGACACACAGTGCACTCGTTTATAATACCGCGCACAATGTTGATCACCGCATGACAAAAAAGATACTCCTTCTATGGAATATACTTAGAGATGAGTGAGCCCATACATCCTCAGGTTTGAAGGCGTGCCCTGCACTGACGGCCTAAAAGAGCTGGATCATTTCAGTCTTGAACGGAGAAGGCTCTGATGGGACCCGAGTCAAGGATTTGAAATCCCTGAAGGCACTGACAAAGTCGGCTGAGTGGACTTCTTCAGAATGAGAAAGGGAAACACGGACTGCAGGGAGGTGCAATTGAAATTAGAATCTGAGGTACCTGCTACAGAAGGGACGCGGAGACTGGAACAATCTACCCAGTCCTGTTGTTGAAGCCGATGCCCTGAAAAGGTCAAATCGACTTTGCAGCAGTCAAATGAACTACAGTACATGAGCTGAATGGCCTCTTTTCCTTTGTAACCTCTCATGCTGGTATTCATGTGAAGAATGATAACACATCCTGCGCTATTTTCTTTTCCTTTTGCTGCCCGGAACAAAAGTGCTTTTATTAACTTAAGGGAGAACTGCAGTCCTAATTTCTCAGACTGGTTATTAAATCTTGGTAACAAAATAAATGAACTGACAGTATCGCAAAAATTTAACAAATTCCGGAATGAGCACAAAATCGCAAACTTTGTGAAAGTACTGTGTAATCGCCATATTGTCACAAACCCCTAGTCTCACCACAGACAAGAGCAAACTGAGTTTGTGCAAACTGAGACATGAAGCAGCCCTTCCTGCTCACTAGTCACTGCAAAGACTAATGTAATGTGATGCACGAGCGAATAAGCACTGGTTGTGCAGCAGAAATTTCACCACAGAAATATTCCAAAGTGATCTGCATGCGGACGCAACATTAGTATTTGTCGGCAAAAACATCTCGAAGTCGAGAGTAGTATTTCTAATAGAATAAAAGAGATGGATTCACAAGCCTGCTTGTTTACAATATAACGGGCCTGGTTCACCACACTGGAATTTTGGCTGCCTTGTTCTGAATCAGAGAATATGGTGCTGCCCATACCTGGAAATGTTGTCTATTTTGTGATGTAAATTGGAAATTTTACAAGTTACTGTGGTACATTTTACTTCACTGTGGTTTGAAATGCACTCATCAATGCCAATTCTTTCTAACCCTGAAATATAAAAATAGTATAGCAGTTTCCCTTTAAGACACTAAGGAGCAAACTCTCTGTTCACTGATTCAAAGTACAGCAGCCTTTCAAAAGTTACCAAAATAGAACTGTGTTGTATTTTCCATAGCTCTAAAATGCTTACAGGGTGTACTATCCATTCACTTTGTTTCACAAAGTCTGTATCGGGGCTTTCCAAGGCTCTTACAATCTACCGTAAATCGATAATGATGTCAGTGTGCATTACAACACATGAACAAGTAATAGGTTTATTCCATGCTGAAAAGAGAAGAAAGAAAACACAACGTTTCAGCTGTGGAGCCTTCTTTGGGTGCCGGGTGAAACATGAAACGTTGTATTTTCTCTCTTCTCTTTTCAACATGGAATAAACCTATTACTTGTTCCTTTGCAGACTATGCATGCTGACGCAGCTACCCACCTGAACTATTACAACACATGTACCACAATATATGCCAGAAAACGTTCATGAGCAATAGATCCAGGTTTCTGAAGCTAGGTAAACGCTAATTCCGATGAATAACTGCTAAAACCCGACATGACCGTTCTCAGGAAGCTTTGACATTGACGTGCACTAGAGCAGTCTATCAGAGCAGCTCACTACAGAGGTGTCGAATTGTTCAGTCTGGACTGGAGATTGTTAGTGACTCTAGCTGTGTAGGATTAGGCTAAGTGCAGTATGGAGCACACAAGCAGAAAAAGCAAACACTAGTCCATTTCTTTTACATCAGCGTGAAAGAGTGCTTTCATTGACTCGTGCCCGATCGATGGAGAAAACTCACCTAATTTCACTCTCTTTTGAGTATATATAAACCCCTTTAGGCAGTTAAAGCATTATATACAGTATACAATCTAAAGGAAACCTAATACCCAGTGTTAAGTGCTGAATTAATTAGCTCCTATCACTGAAGTCAGCAGCTGCCTGAAAAAGCTGATCACAGACCTGTGCAAAAGGAGGAATGCAGTAAATTTCTGGGGCCATGCTGTTCACTGTCTCTGAAAAAGTCATTTTTCCCTAAATCCCAGCAGGGTTTTAATTTGCAATCTCCAAAACAAATCTGTTGTACTCCACCATCATACTATTGACATTCACAGCAAAATATAGGAAAGCAGTTCACAGAAAAGAATAGCAAATGTGCAGAGTTTTTGGAGAAGATAAGCACTAAACCAGTAGTACACTGCCATATAATATAGGAAAGATTCAGTTCTGCCGGGCAGAATGAGCATTTGTTCATTACATCCAAGCCTTTCTTCACATTGAGGAGAATTAGCAGCAAGGAAAAAAATATACATCATATATAATATACATGGATTATTTTGATAGTACATTATTTTTATATTTAAAGTTGACACAACAAATTTAAACCAGAATTAATGCTGATTAATATGAACCAAGATTAGTATTTGAGAAGAGGGAAACATCAATAAAAATGGGAAAACAAAAACTGATCAAATTCAAGTCATTTGTAAGACTTTCAGAGGCTTTGAAGCCAGCAAGAGGCCAGCTCCTACTCAGGAAAAAGGCTCAAAGGAGTATTTTTCAAGCTTTGAGTCTCCCTGCCAGACCACGGTCCCTGCCTCCTGTTGGGATGTCTTTTCTCCTCTCACCCGTGCACAAAGTGCAGTCTGACAGTGCTGCCTGGGGCTCTCTCCCTTTTCTTCGTTGAGGTGCCTCTGTGTTTGTCTTTGCATTGCTCTTTAAGTTGAGGTAGATCTTCTTTGTAAACCTGGATGGGGGAAAAAACCACAGCGCACACTTCTCCGTTTACTGAATATTTATATTCAAATATTTATGTCCGTCTTTTTTAGGTACGGACCTTCTGTCAAACACAGACAACAGCGGTACAGTATATTCCACATTTTCAAATGTATCGCTACACCTTAATGACCAGAAAGAAGATCAATATTTTCGAGCAACAGTTTAACATTATATATTTTTGTTTTTACCAGTGAGATTTCTTAGTGAGATTATCATACCAAATCAAGAAGACTTTGTTCTTTTAGGGGAAAGAGTTAATCATGGCTACTCTAAGTCACATCTTTTTATGAGAGGATACAATTTTCAAGACTGAGGGCTAATGGAATGATAACAAGCCCATATATATATTTTTACTACAGCTTTGTAATCTATAAGACAGGCTGAATTAAAGGGCAGGCTTTGGGCAATTGCACTGAATCACAAACAGCATTACAGAAGCAGGCGCTTCTTAGAAAAGGGACACGTTTGGTCTTAATCATACTGCATCTGTGAAAGCCCATGGAATTCTCCTTGTGGCTCATTAAAAAGCAGCCTGTGTTTCTGACTACTGGGGCAAGGCTGATCTGCTCAGACAGTGCTGTGTCTGCTGGTCTGGTGCCTCTTGTAGGAGGCAGATCTGTATCTAGGAAGGGAGAATGCGAGATGAGAGCAGTGAATTTCACTACTTGAAAAACATCAATAGTTTGTCCTGCTGTTGAACAACATAGTCTTAACTACTGGAGTTGGGGTGTAACACTACACAACGCAACGCACTGTACTAAAATCATACCAGGTGGATTACACAGGTCTGTTTAGAGTTCCGTCTTGAAGCAGTACAGAATGGAGAGCACGACAGTGATATCATGCAAGAAGATGCAAGAAAGTGCCCAGTGACCTAGGGGCACAGCAGACGCACCTGCCGGCGATATGTGAGTTGCGTCTCTTGCTCGATCTCCGAGTCCATCTCAGGCACGTCGGACTGGTCGGAGTCTGACTCTTCGCTGTTGGAGTCCACTAAGGTTTCTGCGATCGCAAAGTACAAGACACGCCTTTAACCCAACTCAAAGCTCGCAAATTCTAAACCCCTTCTGCTTGGGATTTTCAATGTTTGCATTGCGCGGCAAGGCTCTTATCACCACGGACGGACATCCTCATTGTAAGGGAGCAGAAATCGTTATGAAACTTCTCCAGCAAGAGGTTGACTGTTCTTCCAACATGCTCTGCTGTCTTGCACTCACTCTCTGACTCTGACACTTTCAGATCAAATTTGAAATTACATTTTTAAATTTCTAGCTTGATTTGCTGCCCTGCAACAGACTGGCATCCTGTCCAGGGGGTGCCCTGCCTGCCTTGTGCCCACTGTTTGCCAGGATAGGCTCCGGCTCCTCTACAACCCTGAATTGCAAGAAGTGGTTTAAAAATGGATGGACGGGTGAAATGGATACTTTGCAAGATTTGAAATACTGTAAGCGAGATCATCTAAAGTCCAGTCTAGTCCTGAGGATTTTCTTCTTGAGCAATTACTTCTTGAGACTTATGCTGATTTCTTTATGTCTTAGCTTTCATCTTATTAAAACTTTCCACATCTTCAGAACAGCCTTTCTTTTTTTTGGATAGAAAAAAGTAACATAGCAATTTATTGAAAGACCGCATACCACACTTGATGATGTTGTATCCATAGCTTATATATACTATGAATGCACACTGTTTTCATACCTAAGGTTTTAACACCCACATTATACTTTCATTCAAGGGACAGTGTTGCCAAATTCCCTAAAGTTAAATCCAGCCATGATAGAGTCATTTACAGATGAGATCCTGCCTGAATGGCATCTCCAATTCATCAAGTAGCCCATCAGTGTGCAAATGGGCAAACGCAGTTCACAGAGTACCATTACTCAAGCTGACACTGAGAACTGCTGATACACGGAAATACAGAAGCACTGGACTGTTGTACGCTAAACACGCTCACAACATGACCCATTATAAAAAGCACCGCAGAAACTGGAAGAAAGATACTTAGAGAAAAGTACTTTGCAGTTTCATTGGCCTCCAGTGGAATAAGGTCCAATGAACCATGACTCCACAAATAGTGTCTTTTCTAATTGAATTTATTTTCCGAATGGACAAGTTCAACTTAAAGAAACAAAGAATCATGTCCTTTCAGGTTTTTGTTAACACACTTGGACTTCACATCTGTTTCTGACCACATTTCTTTTAAAAACCTGCATCGTGGAGTGCAGACCCTCATAGGGATATTCCTATGATATCGTCTTTGATTTTTTAAACCATAAGAACAATTACATTTTCATGTTTGGGATCCCTCCTTCCTATTTATGTCTTTTATCCTCTCACCCTTGCACAAACCGAGATATTTTAAAGGGAGAGAAATAAAGCCATATTTCTTATTACATTGGTCAGTACCTTTCACAGTGTAAACTGGTACTGCATTTACTTAATACCATCAACAAAGCACCACGCTGCAACACTGAGGGGATGCTGACCTACCTTGAGGAGCTATGTGAAGAGCATCTTTTGCTTTTCTTTCAGGGACAAACTTCCACTGGAACACAGAGTGGTCAGCTCCACCAATAGTAATAACCCACTGGTAATCATGTGACCATCTCACATTTGTTATATGAGCAGAGTGGCCTAAATATTTTTTAAACTTTGCACCTAGGAGACAGAAAGCAATGAAGGACGTCACCCGAAGCAGCCCCACAAAAGAAACACACATGGAAATATGTAGGAAAAAAAAACGGGACCAATAACCTGGATTTCAGGAATATTCCCCAGGAAGAAACTGGACCAATAACCTCAATTTCAGAAATACTCTCCAGGACAAAGCTAGACCAATTACCTCGATTTCAGAAATACTCCCCATATCCACGGAGGTGAAGTCACAGTGTGTTAACGTCATGTGTCCCTGCGCTAGCAATGCCACAAAAATCCTTTTGTGCATGACTTAGCTTGGAATGATTTGTTGATAGTGAAGTGGAGAGAGAAGTCAAAGATATTCCATTTAATTTCTCTGCACCCACATATTTACATACATTTACACTGCACACTTCCTCTGTGCGGATAGCAGTGTGACTCCTACAATCTCACCAGTGCCTAAAGGCACCCACTAGCAGAGCCACATCTCACACTATCTTTACCAGGGCTCCAGGGCACAATGTAAAGGCCACTCCTGCCAGTGTTCTCACTTTTCGGTTGGCACCAACATCAAGCCCTGGCTCGGACGCACTTGCGCCCCCCTGACACCAGCCCTGAGCAGTCCAGAAGGGGCACAGAGTGGGACAGTCAGTGAGGGGCATCCCTGCCTGCCAGGTGGCCAGAGAGATCACTGCATGCGGTTCTCTGTATCCTCCCGCTGGGCTGCAGGAATGATCCAGGACGAGGGCAAAGCCGAACTGCAGGAAAGTACTTACTGGCGATCCAAGTAGAAAAAAGGTCAAGCTAAATTGAATTTAGCAAAGAAAACATAAAGGGATCTTACCTTTCTTTAAACAAGGATAGCGAAAAAGCTTTACTAATCCATAATCATCGGCCGTAACTAAAACGTGGCTGTTGAAGTTTGCGTCTACTGAATTTATATCATTGATGTCGGAATATTTGGGCCATATTCCGTTCACTTCTGGGCCCAGAACACAGGTCCACGTTGACCACTGAACAAGCTTCAGCTCTTCTTTATTCGTGACTTCCTTCCCACCTAAACAAATAGGAGAAAATTCCAATTACCCCAAGGCCGACGATTAGCGTTATGGAATGTGATCACAAAGTACAACAAAATCAATACGCTAAAACAGTCCCATGAGGTTCTGAGAACACACAATGAAATGCTGTAGGCAGCCTGAATGAAGAGCTTTTATTTTAGCAGCCTTGCAGGCAGAAATGAATAGCACAACAAACATGACAAATCCTGTACCGTTTAAAAAAAGGCATTGCACTAACTGCAAGCACTTAAAAAAAAAGCATTGAAGTCACTATTCATAGATTGCAATAAATAAGAAATAAGGCCTTGAGCACATTAAAGCCTCATACTCAATCAAAAAGCCTGTGGAAGGAAAGCAGAAAAATAAGAGAGCAACCACTTACATACACAAAGCCAGGATTTATTAGCATTATTGTTCATCACCATCGTAGTATCGATGTACAAGAGTCATACAGGACCACGCGTTGTCTAAAACTAAATTCCGCTCCAGACCCTAGTGGAAATCCCAGCTCTAGCTGGTAAGCTGGTCAGGCTGGTAGCCAATCTAAAACCAGTTGGGGCTGGTATCAGCATGGTTGTCTATCTTGCGTCAGCTGCAGCTGATTTTTCACATTTTGAGTGAGAATACGTCACTGAAACCGTTAACGCAGACTAACTGCGGCCAGTCAGTGTGCCGCCATCAAGGGTAGCGTGGGCTTACTCACTGGATGATGTCGTCAGCTGGTCACTGCAAACTGACTGCCTGTGCTCTCTTCAATGTGAACCGTCGACAGTTGAGAAGCAAATACAGTAGGTGTATTTGAGCTCAGAATCCAAACTGGTCCAAGCTGGATTTCCCACTAGGGTATTTAATCAAAATCATAACCTTGCGGTTATTACACAATCTTTTGTGTACCCAGCATGCACTCTCTCACCCGGCATCCTGAAAAACAGTCTTTTCCCACTCCCGTCATTCGTCTGCAAATATTTGCTGTCCGCGGACCAGTCCATATGGGTGATGAAACTGGTGGAGCCGATGCACTCGCCCACTTTCTTGTACCGCTGCACGACCCCGTAGATGTCCACCGCGTTGTCGTTGGAGCCCACGGCCAGGTGGGCCCCGTCCGGGGAGTACTTCAGCTCGTGGATCGCCTCCTTGCGGTCCTTGACGTGCACCACCTCCGTCATGTCTCTGGACGCGGGGGAGAGCACAGGGCACCGTCAGGCCCTCACGGGGCGATCACGGCGGCCGCCACCGACGCCTCGACAGGCCGAGGCCCTGCAGTCCCCTTGCGGGGTGAACTCAATGCTGAGGGATGGGATCTGCGTGGGTGCTAACATCAAACAGATACTTCTCATCTTCCGTGAGATCGTTTCGGGAGCAACGACTACTAAAATTGATCAGAACCGTGGTGTTTTACATGCAGGAAATTCAGTTTAACGGACGATAACCAGGAGATCAGTTTTAAAGAAAATAATTTAGAAACTGGGACATTTCACTTTATTGGACATTACAGTTTCGACTGTGTACAGACGGCAGCATTAACAGGCTCTAAGGCTTATGTGACAATATATGCATTGATACAAGGGAATACAAGCACAGATGATGGACTCCTGACACCACAGCAGGCAAGGCCACCGAGGTCACAAGGCTGCAGGTTTTGCCTACCTGACCCGCAGGACAGTGAAAGAGCCATCCTTCATTCCGAGAGCAAGATGGATTCCATCCGTACTCACGGCAGCACAGCGGATGGGCTCTTCCATGTTGCAGCGGGCAATCAATGCATGGTCAATGAGGCTCCATATCCTGCAGGAGGAGTAGCGTAAGTGACAGGAGAAGAAGAGAAGCCCAGACACGCACGGAGATGGCTATAGAAAATAGCAAAGGGGGGGGAAGGCTTTAACTGAGCAAGGCTAAAAAACACCGTGAAAACCTCCTCATCATATAACACAACACACGATAACAACACGCATTACCTTGACAACAATTTCTGCATTAAACAAAGGAACAAGATATGCTGTAACAGTTCGCGCAGAGACGAAAGTTTAAAGCCGGAAGCAGAACTCAGACAGGTGAAAATCATGGAAGTCTTGAAGTCGTGAAGGACCGACAAGGACTTCTGCAGCTGAAGCTCGGTAACATTGTTCCTGGTCATGAAGCTCAGGATCATTGTTTTGAGGTCATGCTTTACATGAATGAGGCTAAAACCAGTCAGAACTTCTTCCTGTGCAGTGTTATTTGGCTGTACGGGTGTTATTCTGTGTGTTATGGGTGTTAGAGTGCTCATGAAGAAGTTTTGACTGTGGTTTTAGCCTCGTTCAAGTAAAGCATGACCTCAAAAATTTAATTCCAAATGAATAACTTGAATCAACAAAGGACTTGGAACAGTTATGTTAAGACGTGATTGTCTGTTTATTTTCACCACTTCATTTTAAAAGGAAATTCTGAAAACATACATTTCATGTATGAGAGTAAAGAATTGATTTTAACTGGCTTATCAACTTCGTTTTTGCCAAATGGAATTTATTTCTCTCCATTTCTCTTTTGTTTTGTTCCCATGAGCAACAGACACTTGTGGCACCCAGTAATTTAGAGCAGGAGAATGACACCGTGACACCGCATAAAAGAAATCAATAGAAAGATTCTTTTTTTACTGTGCAGAAAAGAAATAGTGTCATTTCATCCAAATCCCCAAGAGGCTTGTAAATAATTACAAATGAAGGCTAGAAAAGGTTTCTCCTAAGCGGAACACCTGCAGAAGACAGACATTAGCCTTTCTGTTGCTACTGTTACTTTGCAAAGCAGTGCCCTAAAGATGTGGTTAGGATGTTTTAATAAGCAAGAATTTCCATAAGCTTTTCAAACGTTAACCCAGGGAATCTTTCGGAGTCTTGTATACACAGGTTCTTGAACATTATGACTTTCAGGCAAAATGATTTAGGATTTTGAAAACAGAAACACTATCTTATGCACAATCCGCAGACCAACCACCGACAAAAACATCGGTTTGCAGATGTCTTAACTCCTGAAAACGTAAAGCAAATACACTCTCGTCTGTTGTCGGGAAAACCAAGCTTCCAGCGGCTACAACTATGCGGTGAGGTCCTACAAATGTTCAGGCTTATTCTATCATGAACCGCTCACTTAACTTCCTTTTATGCGAGTCGTGCTCTGTGATTCGACACAACGTTTTTCACGTTGCGTTCATGCGCCCATCTAGAAAATTAAACGCATCCTTGCCCATTAAGCTGTGCTTCGGTAGCTGCAGGCCCTAAAGGGAGGGGAAGCCCGTTTGAATCCTGTTCCAAGCGTGCTGTATTGATGCGTGTCCAGCTCCCGTACAAACAGCACAAATGATGAAACCCACCTCACTTGTCAGGGCTGCGTTTGTGCCGGTTTTCATTCCCGAGACATGGCGCTGTGGCTCTGCACGGCAACCCTGACCTGCAGTGACCCCGCCTGCCGAGCTCACGCGCTCTGTTACCGGTGCGAGGGTACCGATTCCGCACTTTTCTTTCTCTGTTTGGGCGGCGGTGGATTTTTGCATTTCATACCAGTCTTGTCTGTGCGTGTTCTCCTACGGAGACCCCCCCCCCACGCAGGGCGTGAAAAGGAAAGCTAGCGTGGAAACGCCGATTCCCTCGGCGTTGGCCATAGCGCGGCGGCAGCGTGATTACGCACAGGTCACCGCGACCGGCGGCCCGACCCCCCCGGCCAGGGCCAGGCAGTACCGACCTCACGGAGCGGTCGTCGCTCCCCGTCATGGCCAGGGGCTTGGTGGGGTGCACGGCCAGGGCCCAGAGCTCCCCCTCGCAGTGGCCCTGCATGATCAGGAAGGGCTTGTTGCGCTCGTGCACCACCACCTCGAAGATCTCGCTGTCCTGCGTGCCCACCAGGATGTGGTCGCCTCGCCAGCACACGCTCCTCACCGACAGCCCTGAAACAACAACGAGAACGCAGCCGGTGTGGGGGTGTGGGGGTGACAGGCGCGGCCCCACACACACCGCCAACCCCCCTTTCAAAGACCACAGTCTGTTCGTTTGGGTTTTTTTTTTATGTCTTTCTGGTTGCTGTGGTTCGGCTGGTTTGAGATTGAAACGGGAGGGAGACTACAAAAAAAAACAACAACACCAAGACACTTTTCCGGGATAACGGCACTTGTGGGGTGGGTGAGGAAAAGCAGAACAAGGATGAGGGTATGCATATATATTTACATACAAATATATATAGACGCTTTGAGAAAAGATACAGCATACAGGGACTAATATGTACAAAATGGTGGGGACAGCCTTTTTTTTACCCTCATCATCTTTACCCACCTCTGCAATTTTCACCTCTAGTTACTGGTGGGGGGGGGGTGCCATTTTCAAACAGTATATATAGAGAAGAAGAAAGACAAACCACCAATTAGTGAGTGGGAAAAAGAATTGCCCTTTTAATCCAGCTAATAATCCCCTTTCTCAAACATGAAAAGAAAGGTGTCTCATTAACGAAGACGGTGGTCTTTAAAAAAAAACAGTTCTGAAGAGGACAGGTGAATCATGGCATAAGTCCCCCCTGAACACCATCAGTTTGGTGTTCAGGTCTGCGTCCGATGTCATTACTCTTTAGCAGACGGGCTTGTTAATCACAGCAGTCCCTTTCTGAGGAGATAGCAGGGGAGGGTGTTTGCTTGATCTCTGAAAAGATGAATGCAATGAGTAATATTTCACCTTTATATCCCTGGTCTGTTTCCCTGAGATCAATCACTGTAATTGGTTTGAAATTCAAGTCCCACAGGCGGACGCAGCCGTCTCGACCCCCAGTAGCAAAGCCCTCTTCGCAAGCGTTCATGCTGAAAATTCCTGACTGGAGAAATTAAAAGGTCAGGTTTTTTTACCACATAACAACACCAAGTAGCCATCATCGCCACACAAAGAGCAGAGCAAGGAAAAATGTCCGCCTGACATCTAAGGTTTCGTATTGCGCTGCAATTATTTTCAATTTTGCAATTCCAATAGAAGCACTGCTTAAAACCAGGAATCATTGTCTTGTGACTTGTCCTGTTTTTGTTTTTTTAAAGCAGTAAAATTAAAAATAGTTATTCTGCTCTTTTTAATGGAATTTTGCTGCCAGACAGTGCTCAACCAAATGAAATAGATGCCATATTTAACAGCGCTCCGCGGTCATTTTCCTACTTACAGCAGCCTGCCCCCCTTGGGACAGCAGCCTGCTCTTGAGATCACAGATGTGGATGAATCCCTAGTAGAGAAGGCTCATCCTCGGCACATGTGAAAACGGGAAGGCAACCCACTCTCACCATCACCTTGTTTCTAGCCAGTGAATTCAGTTCAAAACATTCCTTCAAGCTCATGTGGACAGCCTGTAGTTCCGCCAACCCCACGCAGACACGGCTCCCCACATACACTCTGCATGTTCATCTATATGCGGTGCAAGCCGTTGCATAATGTGCTTGCACAAAATGAGGAGGCGCACATCCACATGCTGAATACATATGCTGCTGTGGGTGAGACTGTGTGTACAGTACAGTGTACATGGCTGAGTGTGCTTGTACTGTAAGTGTGTGGGTGGTTATATTTCGGCACGCGCAGCATGTGAAGTGCACAGCTGCCGGCAGAATTACATGCCCCGCCTCAAAACTGGCTCACCAAAGCAAGGGTTCACTTTACAGAGTGTCATGAATCACATGTACGGCCAAGCAGAGAAAAAACATCTCGCTCTGCGTGGCCTGAACTGGAGGAACGCGGCCGTCAGTGGGGGCTGTCCACAGCCGGAGTTCGGCTCCGTCTCGCTCCCAGTCAGCCTCAGTGCTGACTCCCCGGAGTCTAAAATAAGAACTTGGGCTTCAAGCTAGTGCAAAAAAGGGCAACACTAAGCACGCAGCTTTCAGAAAAACTCCACTCAGATTTGCATAAACGTAATGCACTTCATCACAACAAGAAAGAATCTTTAACACAGAAGAGGTGTGGAAAATGAATGAGCAAGCCATGAGAAAAAAGTACAACAAGCAAACTTCATATCCTCTAGTTTCTAATGTGAAGTATGACATTTTTGGGCAAACAAAAGTAGAATTCATCAAGCACATGAATGCCATATAATCAAAAAGTGGAAAATGGAAAATATGGCTTTATGATTTGTGGTATGACTTATGTGACTGCTTTGATGTGTCAGACAACAGTTTCTGATTAAATAAAAGTGTTTTGGTCTTAAACCTTGCATTTGCACACACCAAGGTTTGTTACCTCAGTGTGAACACATAATAGCAGAAGCATGTTATTCTAAAAGTATACCACAAACTCACAATGCCGTTCTGTTTCCAAATGTTCAGTAGAAGAAGGACGTGCTTTCAAATAATTCCAGAAAAGATTAATTGTGTGAACGTAACGGAGAAAAAAAAACATATCGGTACAGTACAGTATGTCTAAAACGCAGGGCGTCTTCCTCCTCCTGTGATCTGGTGCACTGGCATTTGAAACTGGTACAGTGGGGTGTTGAGATGAATTACACCCAGCCAGAATAAAACCTGCTGGCTACTCACAGGTAATAGTACTTACCCCATGTGCCCCCTGCACAGTTCGCACAAGGCTGATTCCTTTCCAGACATAAATGTCTCCATTAAGAGCTCCTGAGTAAGTGACCTCATCTCGAGCACAGGCCAGACACAGGATCGTCTGGAGATCCCCGGTTTTACCAAACACTCCTCTTTTGGGGGTCAGAGCATTGCCGCATAAGCTCCAAAACTGAAGACAAACAAACAAAAGTACAATGACTGAAATCACTGCAGTTTTTGGTCCAGTTTAATCTTGCCACGTTTTTATAGAACCGACTGCCGTTACATTTTTTTTGTGCACTACAGAGATGTAACAATCTAAAAATAAAGAATAATTAAGCACAATACTGCACTTTGCAGTACTGTGCATTCTTGACTGCTTTCCATGTATAAATCCAGGAAAAACAATTCTATGAAAATGAGTATTAAGGTTAACACTTTAAAAAGAGAAAGATGTAGTTTTTCCGGTCTTGTTCCTTGGGGCCAAGGCCCTCACTGAAAACCTCTGGAGAATAATATTTTTGAGAAAGCAATTCATTTCACATTTGAAGGTGAAGTTCAAGTAGCCTATGGTGCCTTAAGGACTGTATCAAGGTTAGGGTTAGAATCCTGAGGCTGTGAGAGATCCCAAAAAGAAATATTTGTGTTTGAACTGCGATTCATTGAGCAGTGTTTGTGGAGTTTTGGTCCTGCTTTGAAATGTTCTGGGAGGGCGTGTATTTGGGATCAGTGTGGAATGAAGCCTATCAAGTGCCACTGATGCAAGGAAGAGCTGTGGTGACATTTCAAATGAAGACCTCTTCCAGCCTCACAATCTTCTAATTTAATCATTTAAAACAAAACCGTGACATTTGCTGAATGCCAGTTAACTCTGAACCCCGTTCGCGTTGTGGTTGAGTTTTAAAAGCTTAACGCAAGAGCTTCTGGGTTGATCACACATTCAAACTTTTCACTGGGCCTGATGTCCACCATTGCACTGCCTCGCAGCAATATGGGTTTTAAAATGACTCCACGCCTTAAATGCTTTGAGTGGCAATTTTGCATCAGCTTTGACTGGTTTGTTTTGCTCGCCGGTACAAAGCTGGTTGCAAACCTGCGCCATCAGCTCCATTATTCTGGACTCCACAAATCCTTAATCATTCCTTTGCTAAAGCCATCTGTGTTTCCCAGCTCATTGTAGGAGTCTAATCCTCATCCTCTATCTGCCTTCTTTCTCCATTAATGGATGGTTCAGCAGGAGCTATACACTGATAGCCGTGCTGGTGCCGAACAGAGATGAATGTTTTCCTCTCTGTCCACTCTTGGAATCAGGTCATTTAAATGCACGCCCATGCCTGAAGCTCTCAGTTACCACTACAGCCCAGGCATTCCAATCACCATTTTGTCTGTTCATTCACTGCATCTGTAATTGTTTTAAGCGTGCATAACAAAACAGCACTCAGCAAATTACAAGACTGCAGCTCAGTTTGTCTTACCCACTCACTGGGCTATGAGCGCCAGTTTTCATTTCCTATGGTATATACTACACAACCAGAATTCTACAAATGCGGAAATGAATGAAAACACAGTTGTGAAATGTAACTGTCGTCAGTTATTTAAGTGTTTTATTAACCTTTTCTATATTTAATTAAGCTGCTCCTACTCATTCACCTAAAAGAAAAGTCTTCTTTTTCGAAACCCACATTGAGTTACACATGGAGGTCATATTTCCACACCTACGGCATAATTTAAACTAACGCTTGTCTTTGATTACAGACGTCGCTCTCCCGGAAAACTTTTGGAAGTTGCTCTGATTTTCACTCGCTCTGGTTGCGCAGAAAAGCACGTCGGCCTTGCTGGGCGTGATAAGGCAGGGCCATTAGAACAGCACGACTGACCACACACATGGTCACACAAGGCCTTATCACTGTCATCTCAAAGCGGGGAGGATGTGTGCCGTGATTCGGCCCCCCCGTCTGTGGCAGATAAGGAGAAAAGGGGAGTTTAATCCCACTGTGCCAGACCCCTGCTCCGTTCTGAGGGCAGAGCAGGGCTTTCTAAGAAGGCCTGAGGGATATATTTAGACATCATCTCAGCTGCGATAAATATAAAAACAACCTCTCCTAAGGAAATGAATGACTTCGCTGAACCACTTTCATTACAGAGATAATGGACAATGAAGGTTAAAAATCCCACTGTGTCAGGATTGGGGGGGAGTCACTATTAATCACTGACAGAAAAGAGCTTGACGTGGCTCTCCTTTCTCTCATTTCTTTTTGCACCTTTTCCAATTTCTCATTTAAATATTGAATCAATAGCCTTGCTTCAGCAGGATTTTCGGTTTGCCAGGACAGCTTTCAAATGAGATTTTGTTTAATACAAACATCACACCTTGCACTAATATTGTACGAGAATTCCAGTTCCTTAACCCAGTCAGTTCTCAGTTTGACTAGAAAAGCTAACTGCCAGTAGAAGCATTTACTGGGGTTTACCAACATTTCTGCCAGGTCTTGGTTTCAGTCTTTAATTCGTTTTTTAAACTACAGTATTTAATTCCACGGATGTTGCGAAGCTCTTTCCCACACCACACCCAGTTCAGTTCCAGTGAAAGGTATTCCAACAATAAGAATTATGTAGTTATGTACATTTTCAGTCAAAATACACATTTGTAAGTTGACTGTAAGTTGACCAAGTGTTTTAGCAAATCACAATTTCAAGATACTACCTTTTAATTTCAATCCACCTGGAGTGGATCTAATTCACATTCACAGTGTATCATAATTAAGTATCAAAGAATCCTGTTATCCTGTTTGTTTCTGGAGGTAAAACCTGTTTGAAGTCCCATTTTATTTAAGGATAAGAGCAACAAGGAAGTGCTGAAAAATTTCACCAAATTGTAGGGAACAAAGGCTGGACAGATTACTGGGTTAGCAATAAGACACAGTAGATGTGGCTGATCAGGGTCATTTCCCAGTAAACAGGGAGCCCAGAAAAGTCCACACTATCTGAATGTCAGCCCTGTAGAGTCAGGAACAGCAGAAGCTCCCACCTAAAAAAAACCCAGTTCATTTCAACCATGTGCAGTTTTCTTATTCGATTTTTTTTAGCTAAATCAATAAGTGGAAGACACATCACTGACAGTTTTCTATGACTGGGGGATTAATATTTCCAAATCTCCTGGATGCATGGAATGCTATAATCGCTAGCAGTGTGTGGTGCCCTGAAGCGGCTGTCACATGGTTTAGAGGGTAGGGGCACTGGAATTAGGAGGGCCAGCTGTTGGGATGTGGAATGTCTGTCTGAAAGCTACATGATCTCAACTCTACACGGCGAACACAGTTTTTAAAATTCTGCAGTCAGGTGGTTAAAAAATAAAACTGACTGGAAACAGACACCGCTTTCTAACAGGGAAAAAATACAACTGGGTTTTTCGGTAAAACTTTTGCCCAAAACTAGCATGCATGACCACTGTGCTTCATATTCTGCAGCTGCTTATTAACTCTATGAACTGAAACGCTGCATGAAGCACAGCTGACAGTTCAAGGTTAATATCGCTGTCACGTAACTGTAGACTCTGCAAACAGGAGACTGCACAAAAAGGCCTCCTTATTGTTGTTCACACTGATGTAGATCTAGTGTGCTGTTGTTTCCACTATACTACTCTATATTACAATGCTTTTCTGATTGCTCACCTCATGAGAAAGGATTTTGCTTTAAGATGTTTTCAGCAAATCCAGCAAACACATAGACCTGCATGGGGCTCTGAGTAGGGTTAGTAAGGGCTGATAGGATTGATGAGTTAGTTGAAACAGATATTTCAAAATCAACCATAAAAGCCAGCGAACAATATATGTAGTCTAGATACTGCAGCATACAGTGGTGCCACTTCTGACTGAAGATATTTACCATGGCAGAGGACAGAACATCACTGGCAGTTGAGCTACCCTTTATAGATGTTAAACATGATACGTTTTCATGGGCCTCAAAGTTTTTGCAGATTTACACCATGCCTTTTCATGCATTGCCACAGTTGTCCATCAGTTTATATCTGGGATTATCTTTTAAATTATTTCCATTAATTTATGTACAATACAGGCTGTCCAAACCTTCTTTGCTATGCTTTTACGATGGATACATCGTGCCTTAATGCATCATCTTCCCTAGAGAAATTTAAAAGTGGAAAGTAATTTTAATCGTTCCAAAAAAAAAAACAATCACTCAAAAGTGTCACAAGCACGTGCAATATATCAGTGACAAATATATTCCACGCAGACTAAACACGTGGAACTTAACATAAAATTTCCGCATGAGTCTTCATGTGCTATTAAAGAAAATCTCAAAACGGATTAAAGTAAGTAAGCAAGGCCAGTCACTGGGAAGGGAAGCATGTTTAATGAAATTACAGTTTCCAGTGACAAGAACAGGCACAAAAAAAAAAAATCTAAAACACTGCAAGTAGGCTTTCAAATGTTATCATCATTTTGCAGGCTTGTATTTAGGCTACATCATTCTGAATGTAAAGACAGTCATGGCTAAACCTGCATTTTTAAATTATTTTTCTCATTTCATAGCACCAGAAATTGACTGTGTTCCTTGATTAGGCTTAGACTCCTTTTATGAGTCATCATCTTCGCCTCCCCAGCCGAAGTTATGGAATTAATAGCAACAGAAGTACAGAATGGGCTGTAAATTAAAATGAGGAAATATTCTCCATCCAGGTCAACAGCATGCTCTTTGTTATGGATTTGCACACAGGAATTATTAAGTGTTTTGTGCAACTGCTGGTTGCTAACAGAAAAAAAAACTCCAGAGGAAGCCAGCATCACTTTTGAGAATGTTTTCTCCCTGACAATTTTTTTTCTTAGAAAACATACAATATGGCTCAAAATTGGGGCCAGCCTCCATCCCCCCAATTAAAAAGCCATTTCTCTTTAATAATTTGTTTTCTGCAAATACAGTATCTAGGGTGCACTTAGCAAGTCTCTAACATTGCCATCTGTAGCACACAAAACAAAGATGTCAGCAGAATTAGCTAATTTTGCAAGTAGAAAAGGGAGAAAACACTGATACTCATACATTTCATGATGACTGTGTGGAGCCATACAGTCCATCTATACAGTATACACATCTGGTGATATTTCCCTGTTCATCACAGAGACTGTTCACTTTGGCCTCAGTGTGTGATACCAACAGACCTACATCTAACACCAGAGGGCCGGTTTGTTCAGTACTGTACTGGGAGTTACATGCCGGTCACCAGACCAAATTCACAACCATAGTGCTAGACTCATTTCTTAAAAAGGTTATGCTCCATTGGAATGGGCTCTATTTCACTACTAACTATTTGAGAACTGACTTAATCTACAGAGGCCTAAATTCATGACTGTCTTGCAAAATATAAAAGGCAGCACCACCAGGCACTATCCCCATCATTGAGATCACACATGGTTCAAGACAAGACTGATGTTCCAAAAGCTAGGTGTCATTACTGATATCCAGTTTCCAAAAAGTATTGAACTGTGTATTCAAATCTTTCAAATGTTTTCAAACTTACGAGCTCTCAGCTGACAACAAACATAATATGAGCTAATTATAATGTAGAAAAGTTTGCACATGGATCAAACCACAGAGGGACTTGGTTCAGATTGAAATCTTACAGAAGCTTAAAGAAAAAGTCACATAATTCTCTCATTACATCTGGTGTTTAAGAACCTGAGTAAAACTCTCGCTTTGCTTGCAAACCAACAAAAAATCCCTACCCGGATATTCAAACGATATCCCTTGACCCAAAATAATAGTTAACTTCAGAAACAGTCTGTGATTGCCATATTCCTACATTACAGTTTTTCTTAAGAAAAGTCAATGAAGCCTTGAAACACTGAACTCCATTTGTAAGTACCTTGATGTGTTTGACTCCACAGCTCACTAGCTTGCTTGGCTGGTACAAATCCCATGAGATGTCAAATATCTGTGAAGAGATAGAATTCAATTACCCGATGACAATTTGTGATTATAAATCTTCAAAAGGTTCCAACCCACAGTGACATGAAAGCTGTCAAAAAGCAATAATGCGTATAAGATGGACTCTATAGTAGCCATGAAGCACGCAACCATAATCTCTCAGTAAAGAATCCCGAGTAAGGCTTTGAAAAATCATCGATGAACACGCGGTGGTTTTGAACATTTGCAGTTGACTTAATTGCTAGTGGACTCTTCTGCAGGTCGAGGATATTATTTTGACCTGCCAGTTTCCACTGTTCCTTTGTGCTGTAAAGATCATCCCCAGATTATTATTTTTCGACTGTATATTACACATCTGTTGCCCTGTTCGATCAGCAGCGTTTAGACACACAGCCTTTTGTGGTTTGGGAAATACTTGCCTCTAAAGAATTGGATTTATGAAAAATTTTAACCACTCTTTGGTTTTTTTTCCCCATTTAATTAAGCACTTTATAAGCATTTATCTTAAGTGCTTGGAATCAATAACCTCAAACACATCTATCTATAGCTTCCTGCGATTCTTATTCTTCTGTGCAGGGCATGGTACCAATTCGGGCAGCTGTGAAATCAATATTTCATTCGGAAAGTACGATGAGGTGGTGTCAGGGCAGCTGGAGCTGCTGCCTCACAGCCCTCGAGTCCTCTGTTCAATACCTGAATGGGGTGTCTTCGCTGTGGATCTCTGGGTACTCGGGTTCTCCACTACAGTCCAAAGACGTACTTTCCAAGTTAGGTTCCCCCACCCCCACGTGTGTGTGTGTGTGTGTGCCCTGCACTGGGCTGGGACTTGAGCCCTGTGATTACAAGGTGAGGCTCTGTCTCACCACGACCCTCTGTGAGAAATGAGAAAGTCACAATACCCTGTCTGTGTGGCCTGGAGCTGCAGCAAGTACTTTCCCCCTCCGCCAGTCCCACACGCAGATCGTGTTTTTCGAATCCAAACCCACTGATACTAAACACTGCGAAGACAAATAAGCAAAGTGCATTCACACTGACATTTGTTAAGGTGACATATCGGTAAAACTGAAGTAATATACAACTCTCCCAAGACGCAATAAAATACAGAATAGATAAACCACACAGAAAGCAAATGTTAATCAAATAGTAACTGTTGATTTGCACCGTGTTTCCAGCAAATCAGCATAGATTACTGTATATCCGATACAACAGTCTATAGCTTGATAGGGAATTCTTGGACAAAGTCAACCTGGTGGACAAACTCTTATGTTTTCATCATTCAGCTCTTATCAAGTACTTATTGCGACCGCTTTTTGCAGTCTAACCCGAGCAGCCAAACAATGCAAACACAAAGCAATGCGGAAAAGGTAACGGAGACCTCAGTTGAGATGGAAGGCACGCTTCCTCGGGGAATCCCTACCTGTCCCTCCAGGTCAAAGGCCAGGCACGCAATCCCATGCGTGTGGATGTCCTTTAAAATGGAGACCGTCTGCACGGTGTAGGAGTCCCACACACAGATATATGGCTCCTTTCCCACCTGTCCAGTCGCCACCAGCACTCGTTCAGGATGCAGAGCTAAACTGTATAGAAAACAAATGCAATAAACATTCTGGACATCAATACAGAAAGGTGCTTGCAAATGACTCTGTCAGCTCTGCAGCTCTGCAGCTCAGGAGAAATGGAATCACAGTCAATGAGCACTAAACTTCTCAGGCAACATTCTTCGGTCCTTACTAGGAACATTGAACACCAAATTTTACATAGTTAGGTTTAAAAAAAAAAAAACGATCGGGGAAACTACCGCTAATAAACAGCAGAAAAAAATTAAGGGGATTTAAAAAAAATTAAGGACAAGGCCTCAACTCACTCAGCAACCAGGAATTAGAAGCCCAGTGTCTGACGGAGACATTTTCTAGCCAAAGGGCTCCAGGATTTTTACTTTTCACTTGGTGGGGTCGTTAAAAGAGCTTCGATTTAAATCGCACCAACGAGATCACCAGTGAGACAGGACAGGACTCAGACACTCATAAGGCTGTTAGCCCCACATTAACTTTGTCATTCTGAACATGATTAAGGAAGTAATGAAGCAGAAAACAGGAGATACAACTGAAGAAAAAAACAATCAGAATCTTTAGCTAGCTGTATTTAAACTCACATTAAAATGGAACTATTTATATTTTTAGAACTTGCACAAACATCAATCTAGGAACTTGTCGGTCCAATTAAGGCTGCAATTAGGTAATTCATCTCAGCTGGAATGAAAAGCCGCAGGTGTGTGAGCCTCCCGGAGCAGGACTGGATCCTCTCCTCTAGCCTACGATGCAAATTCACAAGGTGAAGGCGTGTGTTTTTTTTTTGTTACAGAAAATGGGAACCACAGCCTCTTCCTTCTGAAAGTCTACCACAATGAACATGCTCAATATTTGTGCTGACTTTCCTTTGTTTTCCTACGCTTGCAATCCATGGTTTCTCATAGCTGTGTCATATGGAAAGCTCATGGTTATGTGCGCTTTGCATTGTTTTCACCATGCTTTTACTGTGCTCTCATACAATTCACTCTGTTTTACCAAGGTATAAACGTTTAGAAGATTTAAATCGAGTATTTCTAAATCCTGATCTTTACAGTAAATGTGGATTATTCACAAAGAAAGGCTTAGTTAGATAGCAAAAGTAACTGCTGCATTTAATGATGCAGTCTCAACCCTGACATTGTGCAGTTTTCTTCCTTAGGATTATGTTATTAAAAATGTACCATAGATACCATGGAAAATATGCTGGAGCCTGGCATCATGCCTCACATATGAAAGCAATATTGCACAAAGTGAAAACACTTTAAATGTTCCTTGTTAAAATATTTCCATTATCTTACACCCCAATTCACCTAAGAGACTTCAAGACCAGCTATCATGCTACAACATTTTTCAATCACGTTAGTAGTAATTTTTTTGAATTATTTCACAAATCATAGAGATAAATTAACATGTCATAAATTAAGCTCTGAGTCTACTGCAAGTGGTGACACTAAGCCTCCAGAACTAACAGCATAAATGATTAGGTGCAGTTTTAATTGGAGTGCTTTTTGAAGTGCTTGTCAAAGACCAGGTTGAAATGAATTTCTTGCGAAAAGGGTCATCTTTAACAGAAGAAGCTTAGGATTTATGTTCTTTTTTTTCTAAAACCGTTTTTCCAGGAGTCACAGTCAGGCTATATTTGAGCTTACTGTTCTTATACAAGCTAAACATGTTCAATCACTTTTACGAATTACAAGTGAAAAAATGATCTGACAGTTGTGTATTACTGATGTATGGTAGTGATGACACTTCTATTAACATCCCAGCCTCTCCCACACAAAACACCATTCGAATGTCTGCAGAGAGTACTTTGTCATACCTTTCAAACACCATGGGACAAAAACAAGCTTAAGAGTACATAGAACAAGGAATATCAAAGCAACCAATATCAACATGAATTGCACAGGCTCCCGGGTGCCTCATCAGATTAAAGCCCTCTGCTTTGGATTGGTCACTAGATCAAGAGATGGATCGCATTCGATGACCATACTGACCAAAGTGACCATACTGCTGGCAATTGCTTCAGTTTTTAAGATTCGGCAGGAACAAAGAGAGTGAAATGGGATAGAACAGCCAAGGCTGCAGATTGCTAGCACTGACTGACCATGGTCATGACGATACAGTACACATTTGGCAGACTACTCTTGGGTGTTTGATAGGAAGTGACTGGAGAGTGCCTGGCTTGCTGCAATTTAGCGAGCCCCATAGCTGTGTCCACCCCATGGAAACCCAGATGCTCTGCACTTACTGTCAGCAAATGCAGCATAAAGAAAGGTCCCGATGGCTTAGAGAAAACTGGGTTGCTCAACTACAGAACACTTACAGGACACATACATCTTTTCAATGATTCGCCCTGCACGACGTAGTCTTCCACGACTTCTATCAGAAGCTTTTTTTTGTTTGGTAAACCACGGCAAGCTTTTCATTTGCAGTAAATAACATGATAGATACTTTATTGGCCACTACTGTGGAAATTTGTCATAAAACCATCATCACTGATCTGTTTCTGATTCACAATTAGACACGTTAGGACCCATTAAAGTTGCAAGATGAACACGACTGCAGGCCTGTTACAGCGAGTTTGCGGTCTCAGCTCTGTCTAGTCTGGGCAGCTGCAGGGAGCACTATACCACTCAACCACCATCATTTGACAGTCATGAAAAGTCGACAGGACTTAGGTGTGTGAGACTCCCATTGTTACAGGTCATAGATGACCAGAAGACTGGTTAATTCTGTGCTTTCGTGACCCTCACTAATTTTAATTTAAGTGGACAAGACCACTTCAGGGAAGCCTGCGTGACATGGGTGCAGTGCTTTCATCCTCAGATGTCACAACAAATGTTGGATGTCATTACTCAAACATCTTCATCCTTGAATTATTCAGTATGCAATCCACAAGCACAACATATTCACAGTCGTCAGAAGTTACATAATGCTTGCTCTTTATCCTGCTGGAGAGAGCCACTTGTCTTGAGGGCGCTGTGGATGAGGTAACAACATGAAGAAAAGACAGTGGGGAATTCACTGGGGGTTGCTGGATGTCCCTGTGCTTCCCACAGCTCTGGTGAGTAAATTCTGCCCAAAACATTGACCCATTAATGCCAAGGCAAACCCTTCTGTGGTTGCTTTGTTCTTTACCTTTGCGAAATGAGCCCAAGCCCACTGATAAACCAGATGATTTCTCATCTGGCCGTGACAGCTCCGCTGCTACCTTTCTTGGCTCAGCCAGGGCCAAGCCCAGCAAACCCATGTCTAGGTGGTCTAAGCCACCTCACTGATTTAGTACAGTGCAGCGTTTGATGCATCTAATGCACAATATTACTGCCCTTTGTGTGCAGCTCATTCTGAGCGAGGCAGAACGCTTCAGCAAGCAATTTGTCTTCCTGCCTTGTCCTTTTATACATTTAATGCTGCAGTAGAGCTCCCTCCGTTATAATCAAAAGAACTGTTTTGGCAAGTACATAATAGAAGCTGTAATCTCTTTCAATGTTTATTCAGCTCGTAGGCTGCAGCCAGCAAGAATGGTATAAAATACTGAAAGGATTCTGCTTTCTGGGTTGCGTCAGGACTGCATGCGTTAGTGAATATTTGTATTTTATCTTGATGGCATGATGGCTGTTTAGTCCACATTAAGATAACTTTCTAAATTGAACGTCCCCTGATAGTGCTACTCCACTGTTCTGAGGCACTGTGATCTCGAAAGACAGAGAGGGTTATTAGCTGGACGATAAGGCTGAAGTTCAGTTGTGGTGAGCCTGGATTTAAAATTAATTCACAGTTTTAACCTTATCTTTTCCTGCTGCTGCTGGCAATACATGCTGTATGCAATGGGCCTGGAGAAGAAAAACTCTTATCACAGTCTCATTCTTCCCGGAATGAAATGAATGCATCAAAAACGTTGCCGATATTTTTAGACACAGAATATAAAACTGATATTTTTTTTTGGGTCACAACATTGCAGCAACTTGATCTTTATTTGGAATCTCCTGAACTTTCATTTCTAGTTTGAATTCACCACTTAACATTGGACACACCCAAAGCCAATATATTGATCTATCCATGATCTGAATGCCCCGTGTGGAATCCCAGAACTGGCCCTGGAAGCAGAGGGCACAAGGGAGACCAGACCCTGGATGGCATGCCAGTATTGCAGGGCAATTTAGCGACATAAACCAACCTGGTTCAAGTAGGGAGCTGTGTCAGAATGTGCAGGCTGCAAAGGAACAAGTAAAGGTTTATTCCAGGCTGAAAAGAGAACAATAAGGTTTCAGCTGTGTAGCCCTCTTCAGGCGTCAAGTGTGAGACTTCTTCATGTATTCACTACGGCGTGCAGTCCTGACCCAAACCAGAAAGCAGAACTCCAAAACACCTGAAGAAGGCCCCACAGCTGAAACGTGTTTCTGTTCTTCTCCTTTCAGCCTGGAATAAACCTTTACTTGTGCCTTATAAACCAACTTAGCCAAATTATACAGGAAGCGCAGCACCTGGAAAAAAAACATGCAGGCATGATCACCATGAAATCCCCTCGTAGATGCACCAGACTGGAGTCAGACCCAGAACTCCAGAGCTGTAATGTTGCAGTGCTGACTGCCACATCGCTGTGCAGCCCAGAATGCCAATCTACTTAAAACACCCTGCTCATACAGCAGACGCTGCATTTCACTGCTAACTGCTGAGGGACACTGACATTTATGATAATGTATTGGTTCTGTACAGCATCAAGAGAATCTCCATCTTACATGCTCTTCCAGCTTTTGACATTCGTTAACTCACAGTGAGTAAATTAATACATCAGATATTATAGCCTTTATGCCTAATAAAAATGATCCATCTTAAATAATAAATAATTATTAAATATATCATAGTAATAATAATCACTGTAGAAAAATCACAGTATTTCCATTCAAGCCAACAATTACAAAGGGCAAAAAATGTTTAATAAAGTCATTGCTTGTTTAAGTCTGAAGTTAAAAGGTCCCATTTCATAACCGAACAGGAAGTATGATCCA